GACGTAACGAAGGCGGACGCGCAAAGGCTGACCTTTCGTGTAAACAAAAAATAAATAAAAAAAAATAGATAACTAAAGCGGGGAGAGCGAGAAAACAGCCGTGTCGCCTCGCTCGAGTTAACTCGAAGTTAATCGGCCGTTAAGCCTGTCCGGTGGAACGACGGCGTTGCATCGGCACGTGTGCAACGTCGTACACGTTCCCGGGACGAATCGATCCTGGAAACTGACCTAAGTTTAGCCGATCCTACCCGCGCACGCCGAGGGGGCAACGGGGCCAAATAGATTAAGCATGCCGGTCCAAATTACGTACAGCTGTCTATTCTTGTATTAAAATGTAGATTCTGGTACACATCGGGTCTGTTAGAACAGCAAGATTAAAGTTTAAAGCTCTCGGTCGATTCGTTGAAAATTTCTCCGCGACATCCATATATTCCATACGATTCATATTAAACAATATAGCTTTTAGAACTTCGGCATTATATCGTGGTGAGAAACGTGTTCTATTGTTCCATTTTTATTTAAAATTTGCATATATATACAATTTTTATGAATAACAATTCTTTACGAGGAATTAATAAACGTTGAACTCTAGACACGACTAAAATGGTAAATAAAATATAATTATCGACAAGTGACTAAATTATACATGTCGTTTCTTCTTTTATCGAATTATTCTTGATTCATATGCTGATTCTTATGATTAAATTATTCGTTGACAGACTACTAATTGTAAGCGGTAGAAATAAAATGGCATGTGGTAACGCGTGTGTATACGGTCGAGAAACGTAGTCCTGAATTACTGACCGCGCGTTCGTTTGGTCGCGGCGGTCCGTTCCGGAAGCACGTCGCGACGGAAGTCCCGGCGTCTCGGCGACGTCGCGACGCCGCTAACGAACACGGCGCGGGCGACGTGTAAGAGAGTCCTGTTACCCCTTGAGCTTTTACCGCGCTCCGCCGCCGCCGGAGCTCTTACCCTTCCTGCGAGCTTTTAGCAGCCTTTGCCAGCCAAGCCGCGCGCGAACCTCTCCGCCTCCCTCCGCTCTGAGTCTTCTAAACCCTCTTAACACCCGACCCGCATGTACGCGGACGACGGCGACGCGCCGAGAAATTTATCGCGCCTGTATATTGCAAGGCCTCTCTTAATCGCTCGTGAAAGCCGCGCGTGACGCGCGAGGCTCCGCGCGTAGTTTTCCCGACTTTCGACGGCGACTTTGTTCGCGCAAGTCGCCCGCTCCTTAATATTAAGGAATATTAGATCCCCGGAGGTAGAGACGGGATATTTTCGGCCGGGGAGAAAGATACGTCTCGGAGGTCGTCGCGAAATTCTTTGACGCAAATTTTTAATGTATAAACGGCGACACGAAAAATCAGGTATGAAGGTCTCGGTATTATTTGTTGGACCACCAATAAGGCTATATTTCACGGATGCGGATTTTATCGCCGGTGGAATCGCGCGTATAGTTTCTCGCTGCGATAGAGAAGAAAAGAAAGAGGTAGAGTCCGCAATGTCTCGTAAATCGCTCCCTACCGCGAATTTCGCCCCTCTTTTCGATGTCGCTCCAAATAAACCGTATGTGTGCTTATCGATCCGGACAATTTCGCCGGAAGTCCGCGGCCGTTACTCCCTCGATCGCCTCTATCAAACCCTTGCAGTTACTCGCCAATACCGCAAAGTCTAAGCTAATTTTATACCCAACCCTTTCGCCCCCGCTCGCGTCCCCGACAAAAAACCCTTCGCCTCCGTTCGCTGTCACGCTCTCATTGGGAACTTTGAGACACGTCGTAAAAGTAATCCCGATTCATTTCCGCGGGATTGCTTGTGTCGTTCCTTTCTCTATCGCCGTCTCTCCGTCCCCCGCGTTTCTCGTCACTCCTATCCAACTTGCGGCCCTCCCACCTCTACCCCGCTCCACCGATGCGAAGAGTTAACGAGAAAAGTAATCCAATTTTGGTCCGGCAACGGGGTAACCCGATCGGGACGCGCGGTTGCCTCATATCGCAGCAGCGTTTCTCTTGTCCGGGGGGGGGGGAGGGAGGGGGGTTTGAAATCTGAGGGTGAAATCTCGCGCTCGGCGAAAAGGTGTCGTGGACAATTGCGCCTTGATTTACGTTGCTTAACAATTTTTTTCGTGTCTCCAATTCAGGTAGCAGATACACAAGAAATTTATAGAAAAATAATTTATTACATCTGTTTACTGTTGAATTCGTTTGTTAATATAAATTTTTATATTGTAATGTTAGTATACATATAGCACGTTGATAATATAATATACTTTATTTGCCAAACAATCTTTTAGTGCAATTAATTAAATTGAAGCAAATAATTGTTTATTCAAAAAATTAATTTTATATCTATATTATCTCATTACAGTCAAATTATATTTAAAATAAACCGGCATGCATTCGATGGTTTCTACGTGATTAAAAATATTTTAATTTAGTACTTAACACTTTGTTTAATAGAAAATTAAGGCAAGCGTTGCTGTCTATTGACTTTAATGCTCTTGTTATACGTACACACGCACACTCGCGTCGCGTTCTATCTCATAATGGAAGGAACTTACGCAGGAAAAGCAATCTCGCGGGAAGGGACTCCGGCAAAGTCAAGCCTTGGTTGCCGCGCCGCGTCTTATCGGTTTATTCGCGGCACCCATGGGAAAGTCGCGCACGATGACGAATCCATGTGCCCCGCGTGTGTGCAAACGTCGTTCCGGGACTCGATCTCGTCAGGGAGCTTAACTCAATTACGCGCGTCTCGGAACGCGATTTCAGCGTTCCGATCAGTTGTATGCTTGCCGCGACGACGGCCGATCGTCGTCAATTGAAACGACAACTTCGCGATTGAGCAAGACGCTAATCAGGTATTCCGTAAGACTAGAGCCCACACCGAGTGTGAGCAAACACGAGTGGAACAGCTCGCTTAAGTGAGGGCGAACAACGTGGCAAATAAAAAAATCAATAAGCGATAAATTGCTAATTCGTGTTTGTTCGTACACTTGTTCGCTCGAAATTACATCGGCAAATGAGGACTTGAAACTTTATTGATATCGTGAGCGGACTTTTCATTATTTATCAATGACGATCGTACCAGAGAAATTGTAGTGTAAAAATAATTGTAATAATATTAAATATTTAATTTAAAAAAATAACAAAATTTTATTTTCTTCTTGCAATTTCGGGGGATTTTTTTTTGTCACGAGTAGCGGGCGCTCTTCGACGTGCTAAGAGGATTAAAGCGACGACGCGAATCCGGTAATTACTCCGCGAGGCGTTGCAAAGGATTACGAGCCGTAATTCTGCGGCGCGTGCGGAGTGGTGTGCGCGCGTGTATATGTGTGTGTATTTATGTGTATGCGTGCGTTTTGAACAGCCGTGCGACTGCGAGCGCTACGCCTCCGAATTTACCCTCCGTATTTCCGAGTGCCCTCGAGGAAGCGTACAGGACGCCCTCGCTTTCATTGGACGGATCGTTTCATCCCCAAAAATGCGCCCCGAAACGGCGAGAGGAAGGAGGAGGAGTGCCGGCGGACGTGCGGGGATGGGGAAAATCCCTCTGGATGTTTCCTGTTTTGTGCCTAACAATGGCACTTATCTCCGAGCGATTTCTATCGCGCCTACAGAAGCGATTTTCACGCCACTCGCGGAATCTACGATGAATTTTAGAATGTTCCGACACGCTCGATTAACGGCCTTTCCGTTGCTTCACCTCGGCAATAAACGCGGCGATTTTATCCGCGCGATTTATCGCGTCGTCGATACGATAAACTAACTGGCGAGTTGGCATCGCGGATTTTTGCGGTATCCAATTTCACGATTACCAGCGTTACAGTATCATTATTAGAAGATCGAGAATGTCATAACGGTATAGTTTTTGAAAAATAATTAACATTAACATTAATCATTATTAAAAATTAAGAACAAAAACTACTGAGACTGTGCTTTCTCGGAGCGAAATTACTGCAATTTGAGTAAACAATAGCGGCAAACTGGAACCGCTTCTCCAACAGAAGCGGTAATTTCTGCGCTTAATTTACGACTTGACACCCGTTGACGCCAACATGTGCGGAAGTGTGTTTTCCCTCGTGAAAAGGGAAAACAATGTCTCCGTCCGCCCTTCTCAAGTCCGAGCGCTTTGTGTACCTACGTAGACGTGGATACCCTCAGATTCTTAAAACTAAATTGCATTTACCGAAAGTCTCGACGAGCTTCTCCGCGTACCGAGACTCTCCTCTTCTTCAAATACACTCGAGTCGTGGTATTTAGCCTGAAAACATTTCCTTCGTCGTTACTTCCCCCCGTTTCGTTTCTAGTTTTTCCTATTGATGGAAAAGCCGATGAGAGGTGTAGAAACATGTAATTTTTTATCGTGATTTTCGACGTTTTTAGCGTCTTTATTAACTCTATAAAAAAAATTAGATTGATATTAGCAAATGTCACTCGCTTATAAAATTATGATTTTAGTATTATGACTCACTTATTATTTAATTACTTTTTCGTATCTAGAATACTTGTCAACTTTTTTTAGTAAAGCTAGATAAATAGTTCAGGCTTCACGGACCAAAAGGCAAAAGGATATTGTACACGCAAATTGTATATATGTTACACGGAGAGAATTTCCTTTTAAAATTTATCCTGAAAATCATGTTAATTGTGAGACAATATAGTATTTAGGTAAATTTTACTGTGCACTACAATAAATTTTACTGCGAAATCTTATTGTAGTGCACAGTAAAATTTGCCTAAATACTATATTGTCCCATAATTAACATGATTTGCAGGGTAAATTTAAAAAAAAATTCTCTCCGTGTAGATAATTATCCATATAGAGAGAAAGATACAAATTTTTATAAATTTTTTTATTGAATGAAATTTATAATAGTATCAGTTACGCGGACCGTAGTTTGCTGACCTCTGCTATAAAATTTATAACGGTTAGCATCTTGCCGAGACATGATCTTTATAGGAGAAAGACGTATATATCATTTTTGACCTTGCCTCAGGTAGAATTTCCTGCATCCCGTACGTGCCGATCGCCTCGTCAGGATATTTTTCACTTTCTAATTTATGTTTCTTTTTCTCTTTTGTCTATATAGCGAAGGAGCTCAAAGTATGCGGCAGCGTGAGGAGCGGTGGCGAGGTATGCTGCTCGGCCGACATGGAGGTGAGATTGCAGGCGCGAGCACGCGACAAACACGAGAAGTTCACCAAAGAAAGTCTCTATAAAACGCATCAGCTCCTGCAAGTGCGGGCAGAGAAGTTCCATGGTGAGTAGCGCTGTCTTTTTCCGATTTCGTTCCGATGTGGGGGAAACCCGCGGCGCGTGGCGATGCCCCCGATGGGAATATCGCGAGATGTGCCGTCCGTCCTTCTTTATCTCTCCCTCTACCTGGATCGAGGAGTCGAGATGAATGGACGAAGGGCCAGCGCGTGAGAGAACAAAGCTTTCCTTTGTTGCTTATTATCGACGGCGTCGAGGGAATTTTAAGGACCGCAAAATATCCACGACCGGATATTAAAAATTTATTACTCGTAAAAAAAGTACCTTGGGAAAAAAATTTTTTTTTATCAAAATGTATAAGAGCCTCTATATTTTAGACACGTGAGACGTATTGTCTCCGATGGAAATCTTTCGGGATAAAGTTAGGAAATTAAATTTCTCATATTCAACGGTCGCGATTAACAAGTCCCTCGTGTCCCCGATACAAATTTCAGCTTAAACCGTCGCCCCTCTGCCTTCCACGCTCGCCCAGCCCATTTTGTTCGCTTTTACACCCGGCGAAACTTTTTAATCGCCTTATTCAAATCCTTTTAATCCACTTATTCGAAAGTAACGCGTTGCACTCGTACATTCTGGATCCGGAAGTAAAGCCAATATTTTATCGTAAGACAGGAGAGAGACTCGAGTTTCCAGCTGTCATAAGAGAGACTCTTCGTTTTGCACGTTCGAAGAAGTCTTTCGAAAGATTGAAATGTTTCTCTCGCTTTAAGAACGACGTAAGATTGCAAACGTAGGATTGAGTATGCAGGCTGCGAGGGAGTTCAGAAATCACTAGGGAAACTTCTGCAGAAAAACGCTTTGTATCGTATACAAAGTGTAAATTTGTAGAAATGCGAAGGAAGTAGTAACAAATTTTACAGTAGTAAAAGCAAAAAATAAAATCTCCTTTTCTCACGGTTAAGTGCCTTTTTATCCTCGCCAAAAGAGCTCACTTGCCACCCTCGCACATGGCAGTTTAATCGGCCGGACGTCACTCGGAAGATCACCCTCGGTGGGAGAACATCTAGTCGATCCTCCGGGCGAACTTTTTGACGGACATGCTCGAAACAACACACAATGCCCGATCGAACGCACTCCGCGCGCGCACACATTCTGTCCGTCGTATAGGTAAGCGTGGGCCGCCCGTAGTGGGCGGAGGGATGAAACGAGATTTCAGGGATAACGGCCAAGCCACGGCTCGGCGTGAAAGTGGATGTTGACGACCTCTCGCCGCGCTCTCCTCCAGGCCGAGAGAGCGAGCTCGGCTCTCGCGAGGTTTTTTTTCTAATTAAAGGGGAACGCGCGCGCGCGCGCGCGGGCTGCATCGACGAGGGTTTTACAAGAGTCGTGTACGAGGGGGACGCGTGCTCTTGATGCTGATACTGTCTTGTGTGCGGCGCTCAAGGAGAGGCATCTGCATGCGGGCCCCATTGTTGCGAGCGTATCAACTCGATTGCGTCAACATTACGGAGGAAGAAAATAATATTGTGCATGCAGAATAGCGTAAAGACGGGATTTTTTTTTAAACGAGAGATCGAAGAGGTATTTATTAACGGCACATTAAATAAAATAAAAACAATATTTTTTTTGCGTAGCAACAAGGTAATTTTGTCGTCGAGCGCATTTTCAGGCGTTATACATTTTGTACATTAATTATAGAACGAAATTTTTTTTACTGAAAATTCAGTTGGAAATTGTGGAAATGTTGGAAAGTGGAAAATGATATTTTTGTTGCAAAGGTATTAGTTACAAGGGAATGTGCAGACGAAACGAGGGATAAAAAAGAACGGCGAGGAGAATATCTCTCGTATATTTCACCGAATCCGTTTGGCAAGCATAGAAACCGCTGCGATCGCGCCGCAAATAAAAGCGTCCTTATTGATTTGTTATTCGACGATTTATAGGGAGAATCTGTCACGCTTTCGCTCACGTAAATTGCACGGAGAGCGGGGGAGGATCATCAGGATATCCGCCCGTTTCCTCTGTATTCGTAGAGGCTTCCGTACGGGTATTCACCATCCCCAAAGTGTTTCCCCGCATATATTCGCATTTGCATGCACCTTTTAGATATCCCGAATCCCGGGGTCGGGAATGCCTGAAATTTGATTTGCCCGAGTTTGCACGACGTTTGCGAGTACACGCAACTTGATAACGAAACGGTGTACAAGTACATGCATATTCATGCCGCGCAACCAGGTCGTCATTTATCCACTTTCTTAATTTACTTCTCTGCCTTATTTCATTTTTATTTGTATGAAAATATTATTATTTGCACGACTGTATAGAATTTTATTTTTTTTTCGCCCAAGAATGCGTTCTATATTAATTAAATTGTACAATTTTTTGAACAGATAAGGAATTATGTTCAAGTTGTGCGTTTCACTCTTATATCATATCGACTTCACTTCGTCGTTACTTCTTGTCGCATAGATATCCGTCAAAACGTCTGCAAGTCTCGGGGCCACCTCTACTCATCTTTGTACCGCCGCAAACAGATGCGCGATTGCATCTAGAACGCCGTCTGCTTCGCTTGCAATTAATAGTTGAATGCTGAACGCAAGTGCGCCATCGTAATTAGCGTAGGTAACGTTAACAATTCGCACAATACCCGAATACTCTCGGAATGCCTGTTTCGAGAACGATAATTATTCGGGTTCTCTTGAAGCCCATTTCGAGCACTATCCGTTACCGTGAATGCCAGCTGCGTGCCTCGAAGAGCAACTACTCCGCGATAGAGAACTTCTTCTCGGGGACATTATCGAGTATAATGGAACGCGCGGTCCTTTGTACATTTAAATAATCTTGCATAGTAGTAATTCTTCGCGCGTTATACCTTACAAATTTTCATCGAAGCAAGTATTGGCAATATTTTATTTAATTTAGGATGTCGGGAAACAAGAAAGTTTTGGATATTAGAAATGAGAGCGTTGTAAAATATCTATGTACATATATCGACGACTTGGTCACAGTCGATGGCAATCGACGGAGATTGAAGTGTTTAACTTCGGCCGCGAAAGATCGTGTGATCGCGTCGTGGAAATGTAAGATACACTGCTAAGTTTCGCGATACTTTCCTCGTCATTTGTAAACGATATTAAAAATGAGAGATATTAAAAACGATATTAAAAACGCGTCGTGGAATAATCTATGTATATCGACAACTTGGCCACAATTGATTGCAATCGACGGTGATTGGCATGTTACAACAATAAGTTACACTACTAAGTTTCGCGATACTTTCGCTGTCATTTGTAGAATATCGATGAACACGTAGAAAATTGCATTTACTCTGGCGTTCTCAGAGTGTCCCCAGAATATTTATCAATCCTGTGGCTCGTTAAAAAAATATTACACGTGTACGAGATCATTTATGAAATTGAAAAATTGACGTTGGAAATATGAAGGCAGGAAATAGATGAAACAAAAGAGAGAGGAAATCTTGCCTTTTTAATTAGTAAAAAGAGAACATTTTCAATTTTGTGCGCGTGTGCGAAAGAAGCGAATATTAATTTAAAATTATAAATTGTTTTACAAAATATATTTCTTCTTTGTTCTATTCAAAATTTAAGAATGAAAAAATTAAGAATATTTTGATTCAGGACATATGTATCCTGTCGATGATGTACACTTTGTGCAAACGGTGCACGATGATAGAGACTTCTCGTGCTTCTCGTAAAGGCTGCACGAACTTCTATCTAGCGAAGTGCCGACTAAAGTGGGTACCAGGTGCCAAAGTTGGACGGTGGCATCTCAAAGGGGTTTCGATCGTAAAAGCCGACGCGCAGCCGGAAAAGATGAAAGACCGGCGAGAAGGTGTGGCCTTCGAATAATTTCGTTAACCGGGATCGTTAGACATCCGCGAGGAGGATGCCTCCCGAGCCGGGGACGTGTCCTAATTTCCGCGCTAATTGCTGACGCCACGGTCTCGCGAGTAACATCAAAGATATCGATCGACGCGTATCGTTCCCGCGGTGATGGACCATTGATTTAGAGTATTTTAGAGAGAAACTCTCGGAAATTATGAAGATTTTAAAATCGGACGGAATTTTGTCGCGTAACTATATATACGCCGGAGAAAATGCAGCTTGTAGCATTCATTTTTTCGTTATTGACTCAATTTCATCAGGTACCAAATTTATCTCTTCCTAATTAATCATATCGATATCGAAGAAAATTGTAAACGTCAAATTAAATGTCAAATTTAATGTTACATTTTCTCGTGTATGAATCATGCGCGCTTGTCGATAATACTCTAATCTCAAATTCAACGTCGGGGATTTAATACCATTAAATAAGGGTTAATTGTAAAACGTTTTATCGTTATATATATTTTAACTCGCATAACTAAAAGAGACAATGTAACATTTACGTCTGACCCACTGCCTTTATTTGTATCCGTCAGCGTGTGATCTGTCATGCTGAAAAATTCATTCCCGCATGACAAGATAGAGAGAATACAAAACTTAAACAATCTAATAATAAAATTCCGCTGAGAGATATTTTAAAATGTCACGTCAATCTATTGATATTGAAATGTGAAGAAACTATAGCATTGACTCAATCACGCGCCTGAAACGGTCGCGACTCTCGATGAACAAAGCACAATGCGGTGCGGTGCGCGCTTGCAACGCAACGATAAGCAGCGTTTTTCTGCCCTCTCCCCCTCCGGTCCGTCGCCACCCTCGTCCTCGCTCACCGACGAACAACCCCCTTATCGTCACTTCCGCCGGGGGAATGTGATTAAAATTCCTTTTAGCGACGAACCCGACTGCCTTTTCTGTCGCGTGTCCACCGGAGGTGTAAAAAGCACAGACGCCGATCCACGGCGAGAGGGGATGCAGGGAGGGACGGCAGGAGGAACGGAGAAGAGCAGCTGTGTTGAGTAGTTGCCGCAAGTTCGTTGGGCTTTTAATTCGCAATACGAACCCCACCCTTTCGTCCCACGCTACCGACGACGACGAGTCGCACCCTGAAATCTCGACTAATTTCCCGTTTCGCGCTCGACCGCGATTTTCCGCCGGGGAAACCGTCAAAGCGTCTGGGAAACTCGTCGCGACAAGCCATCTCGAACAGATTCCTTTCGTGTCGATCTCTCTCTTCCTTACATCACATTATTCGATTGTACAGTGAATAATAAAAATATGACAATTGAATTAAATGAAAAAGTGTATAAAGGAACGGAAATCGATAACGGCGATCTAAGCATTATCGAAGTTTTGTCTCGTTAAAATTATTTAATAAGCTGCGATTTTACAAGCTGTGAATCGCGCGACTCATGTTTCTTATCACTTTTGCAGAATTTTTCAAGACTCTACTGAATGTCAGCAAACGAGGTTTTCACGAGATGTTCAAGAAGACCTACGGTATCCTTTACGAGCAGAACGCGTACGTCTTCACGGACTTTTTTCAGGAGCTGGAGAATTATTTCTTGAAGGGAACGGTGAGTACCCTCCCCCCTCCCCATCTCCCTCGCTTCCCTCGGGGAATTTGATTATCTCGACGTTAAAATGGCGCAACTACGATTTATTTGCACTCTTTGCCGAGAATTTTGCCTAAGGTCGAATCCCGATCTCAATTTATATTGGAACAGCGCGCCACCGCGTTGCAGCCTCTCTCGCGTAGTAAACTCGCGCGAAAGGGAAACTCGCTTCTGAATGGAACAAGTCCTTCCCGTATTGCCGGAAAATTTGGAATTATGGCACCCGTAACGTTGAGCTATTCATTTACCTTCTCGTTTGATGTCGCGCGGGTTGCCCTCCCCGGGGCGAAAATTGCAATTGCGCGTTAATTTTCCCGTCTTCTCTCGGCTCTCCCCCTCAGGGCGTACCTACCTTCGCCCGGTGTATTAAGCGCGAATAAATAAGACGGCGCGAGCCGTGAAGAAAATTTCTGGAGCTGCCAAGCCGTGTCTCGGGATGTAAAGTTTATTACAAGCCGTTTTCCGCGCAATTACGCTCGACGACACCTTCTGCTTTCGGAATATCAGCGAGCGAGGAAACGTAAGGGAATTACCGGAGACGGAGTAAGAGAGATGTGGATAAGGATGCGCGATATATTCTTGGAAAGTATCGCGAGCATGTGTAGGCAGTTACGCCAAAAAGGCAATAGAAATCTCTCTCTCTCTCTCTTTCTCTCTCTCTCCCTGCCGCTCTCTTTCTGTAGCTTGCCGATTGAAACGATTGAGCGACGTAAAGGCGCGGTACGCTGCTATCGGAACTTCCTGTAATTCGACAGATGTCACGGTATCCGGATCTTCAAAGGGAAAAATTTATATCTCTTTCTACGCACGCACAATCACATGCATTGCTTGACTCGGATATCTCAAGCTATCCCTTTTAAGATCGATTCGTACAAAACATATCGACGTGAATGCAACACGTCACATTCTATTCAATTTTTCTTTTTATAATATCAACGTCGCGAAAAAATTATTTTCAAAATTATTAAAAGAAAAGAAATATATTTTTTAAGGAAATCTAGACGTGCTAATATGGCTTATAATTGTCCCTCTTTTAATCCAAGAATCGTATAAGAGTGTGGAATTATTCGCTCAACGCTTAGTTTTACAAAGGAAAGATATGAATTTTGAGAAAAAAAGGTTTTTTTTTTTTTTTTTTTTTTTCAAGATAAAAATGAGGTAAACTTTTTATGCAATTTTTATGGATTAATTCTTAAAGTGGATCCAAGAAGCTTAATTCATTTTTGTTCAAATCCCTGAATTCCTCCAGAAACGAGCGTTGTTCCAAGCGATCGAGACGCGATAATCGCGCGACGTGAGTCGACTCTCAGCTCCGCCCTTTAACGCTTTTAAACTTCTATTGGGGTCACACGGCGGGAACAACCCCCTTGTCCACGATGTCCGGTCCGCGCACCCGAAGCTCGAAAGTCAGGAGAGGGCGGAATATCGCGTGCGAAGGCGGATTTAATCAATGTGCTTTTGACATCGCCCGGTGTTGTCCCGGGTAAAGGGATCCAGTCGCCGCCAAAGCGAAAATATCCCGCCGCCGTACGGGAAGGGTCCCGTACGCGTCCTCCGTGCACCTATCTACCTACCTATCGAAGGGCTTCCGCAATTACACCGCGATCCATTGAATTTAGCTCGGGATCCCGGCCGCCCTTCCCTTCAATCGCGCGCGCTGCCGCTTCGGACTGCCCCGGGATGGAATTTAATTTTACTTGGAAACACGATCGCGCGGCCCGGTTGTGTTGTTTCGCGTCAGGAAGCGCGTTATTAAGCGGACGAACGAGGGAAGAATCTGAAACGAGCGCGAGATGTAATAAAGTCCCGATCGGTGGAGGAGAGAGAGTGAAACCCACTCCTCACGGGGGAGATTGGACGCAACATCGTGCACCAGTTGCAGCGAAGCAACTCAAGCAACTGAGACTGAGGCGCGGAAATACGAAGAAATTGCGGGATTTATACCGGCGGTGCCACAGACCCACGCGCTTGGTGTGCAGACGGAACGGAAAGAATCGTCTGAAAAGCAGCAGGAATTAAGAATGAACGTCGCGTCCGCGCTCCGTCAAACTCCGGATGGCCGCGTCGAACAGACGCGAACGGAAGGATTTTAAGAATGCAAACGCGAACTGTCGGACTCACAATCCCCGTGTGAGAGATAAAAGAAGCGAAGTGGACCTCGGGGTTCCACCGCGCGTCCAACACCGCAGGCCGGGTTGAGAATGGCTTCTGGCTGGAAGGGTCGTAGGTGACAGGTACACGGTCGTACAATTCGTCACGCGGTGTCAAAAGGCATGAGGAAGAGGGGGGGGGGAGAGGAGGAGGAAGAGCAGAAGGAGGAAGACGACGATCGAGACGAGACGCTTTGTCGATTGTCATTCAAATCGTCTCTCGAATTATTCACCGGCGCCGCTCGGAACCTGTTCCGCATGCACACGACGGAAGGCGAAGTGCCCGGTCGCGTGAATGCATTATCGTTGCTACGCTGCTGTCACTGATAAATTTATCGCCAATATTAATCTGCCGTGTTACGCGTATCGCGCCGTTTTCAATGCTCCCGCTGATCGAAGTTTCGAAAGAGAAACGGCTTTTCACCAATTTATTCTAATATGACATATTAGAATAAATTGGTGAAAAGCCGTTTCACCAATTGAAAAATGTCAAGTAGAGTCAATTAGAAGAGTCAATATTAAAAATGTTACATGTCGCTATTACATCGTACAGAATTATTGCACTCACGTACCTGAAACTCTCGGATTTTGCAAAATTCTCTGTACATCTCTGTACGACGACGATGGTTAAAAAAACGCAAAAAAAATTATTAGAATGTTCTCGACATTAAAAAACGCAAGAGAATATCCGCTAAATGCTCCAAACGAGCGTGACTCATATTTCATTCCAAGATTCGAGAAGTGTGTAATATGATTAAATGTCATGGTGACGCTAAAGGCGTGTTTCGCGATGAGAGCATCCACAGATGAAATATATCGAGTCGATTTGTTTTCTTCTTTCTCCTCCTCCTCCTCTTATTCATTCTCTCGCGTACAAGTTCCAAACCCAGTTCTTAGCAGTCGCTCTTGTATTCTAATTGCGCGAGTAATCGCTGGAAGTCATTAATATTCCATTGAGCCGCCGGGTTCTGCGTCTCGGTTGTCGGCTCTCGATTAATCCGAGTTATGATCGGGTCCAGCGTAATTTATTTGAGGCTGCGACGGCTGAGGTAAACTGAAAAAGCGCGCGCTGTCCACCGAATAATCGTTGACTGAATATTGAATTATATCTGATGTAATTAATACAGATTGACAGAGCAGTTACGCGCATCGGAATTAAATTCATGAGGCAAAAATGCAATTTACAATTTCATTTATAATATCTTCGTATTTAACATGTTAGAGTTATTTTTTCTCTCTTAAAGAATTATAGTTTTTTTTAAAGAGAAAAGATTCATGATATGTTCAGATATTTTAAAATGTGAAGAATTACTGTGTATATAATTAAGAATATTTCTCGTGCATTTCAGGTGGACCTCAATGACGCTATGGATAATTTCTTCAATACTCTTTACCAGAAAATGTTTACCGTGCTCAACAGTCAGTACAACTTCGACAATAAGTATCTGGAATGCGTGGGCGAACACATGAAGGAGATGCGGCCGTTCGGGGACGTGCCGCAGAAATTAGGCGTGCAAATTAAACGATCGTTCGTGGCCACGAGGGCATTTAGCCAGGCCTTGACCGTCTCTTCGAACGTGCTGAAAAATATGCAATCGGTAAGAAAGTACACTCTGAAAATATCAAATCCAAATCAATGTAATATTTGATTTAATGCTTGCTGCAATCAAATCGTGCGATATCTAATCAATCCTCAGGCTTTTGTTGTAGTAAAGATTAATGGTCTAGAAAATATTTGGCTTTCCAATTTTTGGATGACTTATGAAAAAAAATTGATGCAAACTGATTCGATGATGTCTCTTCGTTTACTTTATATTTATTTTGCATTTTGAAGAAGTAGCTAAAATTATCAAATTGTAATTTATACAATATTTCGTATATAATTACAAAAATCTATGATGGAATATTTATTCCTTTTTGCCTTGATTTCATTCTACTTCCCTTTCACTTTATTCCAATTCCTTCTCACTTTGTTCCATCTTGCTTCTTTAAATTTCTCCGTATGTTTATGGCTCTTACGCCATTATTCCGCAACCGCAACCGCGCACAGATTCTAAAACGGACTCTTTGTTGGCCGTAGCTGAGCAAGCCGTCGGCGGATTGCGCAGCTGCCTTGACCAGGATGACAGCCTGTCCGGCCTGCAGCGGTATATCGGACAAAGTGCTGGCGTGCGGCGATATGTGTGCCAACGTGATGAAGGGTTGCTTGGCGCAGTACGCGGCACTCGACACTGACTGGAATCATTTCGTCGGTAAGCAATTTCTTCTCTCGCTCTCTCCCTCTCGCTCTCTTTCTCTCTTTCCATCTCTCTTGCTCTCGCCCGAGTATCGGCTATTATAGCTCGAGAGAACGCGGATCATTGAACGTGTGCAATCTGTTGTACGTGTCAAAAGTCTTCGGAAGCTACGCGGGATTTTTCTGCGGAAATGGTTTCATTTCACTCGCGTTGCCGTAGATACAACATGTCTTTCATTAAAATAATATTTTTCAAAAATCGAGATAATAATAATATCAGTATTGATTAGTGCTTCGTATTTTTTTGATTTAAAATATTTCGTAAAAGTTACGAAAATAGAAGTAATATTTTCTCACGAGCGACATTTCGCGCGAAATTTTCTTCTCCTTTTACTCCGCTGAGAACGATCTCGATCTCTTTTAATTGATTCGCTTTTCGCTTTCCAAACGCAGAGGCCGTGGACAAGATCGCCGATCGATTGCTCGGACCGTTCAATATCGAGGTGCTGGTGCGTCCGATAAACCTGAAGATCTCCGAAGCGATCATGAATTTCCAGGAGAGCAGCCAGGACGTGTCGCAGCGCGTGTTCACCGGTTGCGGCCGGCCGATGCTGGGTAGACGTAGACGCAGGGACAATCGCGAGCTGGAGCTGGAGTCCTTAAACTTTGATCAGGAACCGCCACCGGGGGAACGGCCAACCAACGAAAAGACACTGGAGAAGCTGGTAAAAGAAATACGTCAGCGATTGCGCGATCTCAGACAATTCTGGATCTACATGCCATACCGGATGTGCAACGAGGGTAGTCTGGTTGTGCCACCTAGCAATACGAAGGAATGTTGGAACGGCACACACGTAGACAAGTGAGAGAAAATAAGATTCGATTCGTAATCAGTTTTTTTTTTTTTAGCACTCAGCTATGAGAAATTCATTTGCTACAGATAAATTAATAATTTAGCTCTCTATATGTTTTGAATGCACAACGTCAACAACGTTGTCTTTTGTTATGTACATATCAAATTACAGTACACCGAAATTATATCTGCTTGATTTTTTCAGGTACATATACCCGGTGTCGTCCGACGGCGAGTCTCAGATGATGAATCCGGAGGTGCGCAGTTTAGGATCATCAAGACCGACTGTTGTGAGGGATCAGATTTTCGCGCTCACCACCATCACGAACAGGTTGAAATTGGCGTTCAACGGACAGGACGTTGATTGGATCGACACTGGTAATTATTGATTATGGCGATTATCAATCACAATTCTTTCGCATATTCGCTAATTTTCATTGATAATAACCAACTTCTATGACTTTACAGACGAAACGTGGTACGGTTCCGGCAGCGGGTCGGGTGACGGTTCGTTCACCGACGACGAGGACGGCTTCAAGGAGGGCTCCGGCTACGAGGGACCACGCACGGAATCGGAACCGGAACCGCCGAAGCAACCGCCGCCATCGGTCGTCCACGAGGTCGAGACGCCGCCGCGGGTGGACATCGAGCCGCACAAGGGCGCGGGTATAAGTAACACGGGTACGAGCAGCAACCAGACCATTTCCGCGAACGGCGGAGAGGACAGCAGGCCGCAGATGTCGCTGTTCAGGGCGCTGACGACGTACTTAATGCCGATAGTCGTGATGTGGTTCGGCGGTTGCTTCAACGACTTGCTGTGATCGTGTGGACTTTGTGACTATGAACGTAGCGTTGTGTAAATATTACCCGATTGCGAAGCCGCTATCCTGATAGCGACGTGCGAGGGAGGGTGGAGTCCGTCGCTCGACGGACTCGGATCGCATTAATCGCGCGTCGGATCATCTCGCGAAGATGCTTCCAAGAAATTGACGTTTTCGTAAACGGAGCGGTCTATTCCTCAGATCCTCGAACGCTTCCAGCACTCGCCAAATCGATTGCGTGCATTAAATCGATTTAGCGAAGTACCGAAGTCGCGTTAGTCGATCAATTTAGCGAGAACATGGATACTCGTGGCCATAGCTATACTCCGATCTTGCCATAACTTGGCAAGAGAGGAAGAAATCGTGCGAGAGATTCGTTCATCCACGAATGCTGTTTGAATGAGAGACTGTAGAACGCGGAACGATCGTTTCACTGTTGTACAACAATAGCAGCAGCTCTCGTCCCGGAAACAGACAGAAAAGACGCTCGAATCGTCTTTCGACCGTAGTTTAGAACTAAGAAAATGATTCCACGACCGCCGAGCTGAACTTCATATTGAATATCTGAGAGCGATTTCACTTCCCTTCTCCACTTTGCTCTCTCGAGATGAATCACGCCAGGTGTATTCTTCCACCGCTCGTGACATGCGTGGCCATTTCGCAGGGGAATTTCCTTACGAAGTACACAAGCGTACTCCGCGTACCCTTCTAAACACGAACGCGAGATAACTTTCGAGATTTCTACTTCCGAAAGACGTCTCGGGAGGGAATTTTTACGGTTGGATAGATATTACAAGTGTAATGCCGTGTTGTACGCTGTTACAGATCACTGCGTCATTTAAGGACCTTTCCGAATAGATGTACCGTTAACGTTATATCAAACTCTTACTGCCAATTGTCGAGATTGAAATTTCTACTTAAGTAGATTACCGGTAGTGGGATAACAACGCGATTATAATCTTATAATCAGTATAAGTCTTATATCAATTATAATCTGGACCGAATCTTTCCGAATTTTAGATACGCGTTCGAGCTTATTCTACTGCCGTTTGGAAATACGAATTTGAAACAGGTAAATTATCGCGATCAAATACGCTATGTCGCGACGGAAAGATGACTCGTGCCAGTCGAGTTGAAATTTTTCCGAACTTTAAACGCATTCTCTTGTAAGATTATTACTGCCAACTCTAAGGATACCCGAAAACTTTCTCGTCCTTTCTATGTGAATATCTAATGCAATATCGCAAAGTTATCCTTGTTAATCCGTATTTTTTTTTTCTTGGCACGCATCGTTTGATAAGCGGCCGAAGATGTGATCATCGATCAGACGATCAACGGCGCGATTGCCGCATTGCGTGCCGGTAATAGCTCGGTGAGTGATTAAGAAGCAATGTGACTCGTACGTCGATTGTGCATCGCGGCGATTTTGTTATGTGCAAATCCGAAACGATCATGCGAAAAGAAAGAGAGAGAGAGAGAGAGAGAGAGAGAGAGAGAGAGAGAGAGACGTTAATTAAATACACCCGAAATACGTAAGATGGGCCGAACGGAGTATACGAGTGGAAGCGGGACTAAGTATTTATTAAGTGTTCATCATGAGAGCGACCATCTTGGGATCTCTAATTCATGAATCCCGGATGCGCGCGGCAGGAGGCACGAACAATCAGGATCCTTGTCCCCGTGACGTTTCACTGTCGCGGATTGGATTTGCAGATAAGCCGCAGCCCCGTACGTACGTCGCGTTAATTAAAATCGAAGATTTTAGCATGTAACTGCACATTGAGCGTCAAATACATTTTACGCGTCAAACGCGTCATTCTACTGACCGTCATTTTATATTATTCATTTTTTGATAGTCGTCAGAACAGAAGCTGCGAAGGGATCACGAAGTACGGGATCAGTGATTCCGTGATTCCGGACAAGGATTCCACTTGGCTCATGTTATACGCGGGATTTATTAACGAAGACCAGCGTGCACGCCGCTCGGTTTCGTCGGTCGCGAATACGATCCCTTTGGTGCGACCTGTAACGCGATACAATCAAATGGAAATAGCAATTAACGCGATAGTAATGGCCTGCGCGCGAGCACCGGAGGGAGTTACGTTATCGCGAAACCGAGCCGTGGCACTGCAACATTAATCTACGATAGAATTAATAGCATGGAAGAGACGCTGGATGAACGTTCGTTACGAACGTGAGGTGTAAATAAAGGATAGCGGCGATAAGGATAAGAAGGGAGTGTGATAAGAATGCGACGTGACGCTTACGGTTTCGGCGTTAAAAATGAAGTATATGTGTATGTGTCAGAGACTTTATACGACGTAAGAGAGGAATTGTGTGTGGAAAGACGACTGTCGGAAGTACAGTTACAAAAGGAACAGAATCGGTTGGTTCTCCAATTACGTGGATTCCGTGTTTTGTCGAGCGTTATGAGTCATCGAACGAAATAATGGTACAAGTCAGTGATATAACGGATTAATCTTTTTTTTTATTCTTTTTAATCAGACGACTTTTCTTCGTCTTAGATTGTTTTCTAATTTAATCAAATAAATGAAAGAAATATATTAGGCTCGCTGAAATAGCTAATTTCGGTATGTAAAGTTTGTAATCCATTGTCTTTACGTGAAAGGAGTTTTCGTAATGTCGGTGGATTTCATTGTCGTATTTAATATTTTATGTTCAACTGCTCGTTTAAAGGGCCTCTTTTGTTTCGCGAAAATATGACTTATACCATTGTGCCCAACGGCTCGTGTTATCCGCCACTTTGCCGTGTCGTTCGCGTAGCAATTATTAATTTCGGAGGCAATAGAGTGTCGAAGTGCAGGGAAAATGCGAGAGAACGGTCGGAACGGCGGACTCCTGTGATAAAATCAAATAGATCGAGCATTATATGACCGCCCTCCGCACATCCGCGCTTTCATTTACGGCTCGCTGTCGAGGGATGAGAGGTAGGCGAGTCCGCGAGGGACATTATTGAGGGAAAAAGAAAAAGAAATCTAGTGAAATATTAAAATAGTATATCACGAATGAAACTAATTATTTGTAATTATATTATTGTAATATTATTTTTATTATTATTATTATATATTATATATATATGAAATGAAATTAATATAAAAAAAAATTGTAACGCTCCGCGACTCGAGAATGTTTCGCGCGTGCGCGGCGTTTTAAGGGTCGCACGTGCGAGACGTCGACAATCTCGTTGTCGCGAATTCGTTGTTCTCCCCCAGTGATGTACGCGCGAAGAGGACATACACACGTACATATTTTCACATTCACACGCAGGTACACATACGCACACGTACAATAGGCATTTTGTATGTAATTACGATATTTTTAATCCTTGCCAAATTATCTCGCGAAGAACGTTGCGCACACTTTTATACACATATATATTATATATGTATGTATGTATGTATACACATATAACATATTCTTTTTTCTCCCCATTTTTTTTTTTTCATTTCCATCCTTTTTCTTTTAGAAAACGGCGCATCGTACAGTACGGTGCGATGCGAGGGTGTCGAGGAACAGGAAACAGGGTGTTATCCGCGAAAGCTTTATTAAGAGTTGATGAATTTGTAAAAAGAAAAAGAGGAAAAAAAGAGAGAGAGAGACGAGAGACGGATCGGCGTGAGTAAGACCTGAATACTTCTCGTTTTAAACGATATTTTTCTCTCTCCGTCAGTCGCGCGATTTAAGAAATCCGCGTGTTCTCGCCTGTATCCGAAGTCAAAGATTTAAATGGATCAACGTCTTGCAGAATGGGATTATAGAATGTACGTCTAATCTCAGCGATTACGTAGACTGGAGAAGAGACATTCATTTTCGCCGAAGCGAAATCCCTCTCGATCGTGATTTAATTCATGTATCTTCTCTCTCTGTCTCTCCACGGGGAAGATCTCTATACCGAGCTTTACTTCTCTCCGCTGAAGAGAGGGGGGGGGGGGGACCGGCTCCGCTTGTGTCGAAAGTAGATTATAAAATGTTAGAAGGGAGTAAGGGATATACGTTCGCGCGCGCACTATTTTTTTATTTTTCCCCTTCGAGACGAAAGCAATCCTCGAAAATAACAAAGAAAGAAAGAAAGAAAATATATATATGCTATGTTACTTTAAAGTGTCTCACAAACGCACATGGCCCGCCCGGATTCCCCTGGGCAGAACCGACGCGAGAATGAGGAGAACGAATTAACGAGTTTTCTAAGTGCCCCACAGTACGATAGTGAGCATATACATAGATTTATATCTATATATTATATATATAAATTAGTGCGGAGTTGTGTGCGAGCGTATACGAGTGTGTGCATGAGAGAAACCGTGTTGATCCTATCGATCTTCTTATGACATGATCGCGATAATGTTTCACGTCAGAATCTAAACTCGCGTCTCATACCCTCGAACGAAGCGAGGGTGATGTATAATACGCTGACACGCTAATTATGCCGACGTAAAGTCTCGTCTGGAGAGCAGTTTTAAACGAATATAAATAAATAAAGAGAAGAAAACGCAATAAATCACGCAGCTTGCGTATCGCAGTACGTATCGATCGATTCTTGCCTTCCTTAACCGCGATGACGATATTTTAAAATGGCACGTATATTTAAATGACAGTAATGCTCGTGATTATTCTTTTATGCTGCTTAGACCTATCCTGTCTGTAGATTGAATTAAAAGAATTAATTCCTTTTTTTTTCCTGAGAAGGAGACCGCGGGAGGGGACGAGAGAATATCTCGAGAACGAAACTGCATTTTACAGAAATCATCGTATATTTGTTTCTGATAATGACAAGTCTCAATAATATTGTACATCTTATGCGCGACCATTCACTAGCACTAGTAGGTAAAATTATGCAGAACCACCTTCGTTCCCTACACGAGATCCTATACAATTTGTGTTAAATTACATAAACGATGATCGAGCAACGAAGTACCTGACTTTTTTTTTTACGGATGCCTCCCCTCGATCGTGGAGACGGCACCGAGTGCGCGGCACGCGCGATCTTTTTTGAACAATCGCGTGCCCCGCACTCGAAACTCGATTAAGTCGCTCGGCGAGAGACGTTCGATTCGCGCTCGTGAGCGTAGATACTCTCGACGAAAGAGACGACCTCGCCCGTAATTCTAAAACGAACGTACAGAGAAGTATAACCGCTGTATAACGCCAACGCGAGTATTCCTCGTTTGTGAAGATCGTTATATTGCTCTTAACATAAAACAGTACGGCAGATCTGCTCCTCTTGCGTCCTTCCAGTTTATCCGCCAGCAAAATGCGCAAGTCCTTCTCACTTCGAGACGAAAGTGGAAGCGAATAAAATGACGATTCGCAAATACAAGCGCGCGACATTTGCAAAAGGAGCGAATCTAATTATCATTCTTCCAGCCGTTCACGTAAGTAATATACATACTAACGCGCGCGACTGGCGCACGATTGGTGATACATTTACTTTCAAACGTATCGACGTACATAAATCGAAATGAGCTATCCCTCGAGGTCGAGAATGAGTTTTCACAATCGTCCCACCAAGGCCGAATTGCATCGGTTCGCCCTGGTTAACTAAAAACTAAAATCCTTTCCTTCATATTACAAGTAGAATATATAATCTAAGAATGGCAGCAAATCGCTCACAGTTCGGACTGACGGCGCACGCGGTCTTGGAATCTACGGCGATGGATAATCAACAGGGAAGTATATGTGTAATAGGCGCCCGTTACGCGTCGGGCGCAACAATATACATAAATCGGCGGGCCTAACACACTCATCCTAAATTAAATTAAAGCTTCAACAATTATTATAAATCTGATTTTAATTCAGATTGAATAACTAATTTTCATCATCAGAAGTTTTTAAAAAGTTTTTTTCTATCTTGAATTATTATAGGGAGAAAGTAAAACTGCAATCTGACGTAATAAATCACAATTGTAGTACTGAAGCTTTCGTGATGCATTCCTTAATTGCGAAATTAACTTCGCAACGGTAATTTCACGTCAACTTACGCAACTTACGCCGCTCAAGCTTGCACGTCTCGTCGTTCATCTGTACAAAGTAATTTTTCGCGGATCAGAACCTCGATCCGGTCAGAACGTTGCACCCAAGTTTGTACATCCCCGAGCGAGGGTACGCTCAATCTCGTCGTCGCCAAGTGAACTTCGCCCGCTGACTCGTCGCCTCCGTCGCCGGAGCGGAGGCGACCGGATGGGAGTACGGGCACGCCGGTTTCGTGCAGAACGGATGATACTTGCACTGCTGGGCGGGATGCGAGAACACGCAGCCTAGCTTCGTGCAGGACAAACCGAATTTGCACTTGGGATGCTTATAGGCGCACTTGTCGCCGAACTTGCATGCCGGGAAGGCACTGCGAAAAAAAAGAAGACAAGTTAGTTAGAGAGATTAAAAGATGGAACGTTTTTTTGGCGTTACATAATATTATAAAAAGAAAAGGATTGTTTTGAGAGATGTAATATATGTAATGAGTCTCTAGAAAGATATACCTGCACATAACAGGGGGATGAAGGTACGCGCATTTGTTTCCTAACGTACAATTTGGCCAGTATCTACAGTTTTCCCTGGATTTGTCTAAAACGACCGGGACCGGGTTCTCCACCAGCGGTTTTTTGTCCGGGACTGAAAAGAGCAAGCGCGCATTTTACAACGACATACTTTTTACGCTCTAAACAAAATGTAAAAGAGATTTTTTGATGCGTACGTTTGGCGGCTAATGTCGGCGCCAGCGACGCGTTAGATTTCAATTGTGTGGGACTAGGAGAGTGAGATCGGTTGTACACTATGGGACTCAATTTTCTTCGTCGACGCGGCGTCTCGTCAATCTTATCCACGTTCTCCGTGTTGCAGTTCTCATTGTTCTCCTCTCCGCTCGCCTCCTTCGGACTGGCGTCCTCCGCACTGTCCTCCGCATCTCCCGCTATTCTAAATTTACGTATTTCCAACTCGTCCTGCGCCTCCGTCGTCGTCGCCGTCGCCGCCGCCGTCGCTTCATTGTGCGTCGTCAACAGCGCGAGCTCGTCGTCCTCGTTCACCTGCGAGCATCAGGAGTCTAGACATCGTACGTCTAGAATGCGCGCGAGGATTAAAATTCAGAGGAAGGGAAAGAGGTGGGAAAATGTGCTTCAGAGGTGTGGCGGAGAAGAAATTTACCTCCATCTCCAGTCGCTCCTCGTCATCCTCGGAGCTGATCTTCTCTTTCATGAGATTGTTGTTGTATCCATTCAGAGTGACTAAGAATTTCTGATTGTCGTCGCTCCTTTGGAACAACGACATCACGACTCCCATATGCTCGTCCGTTACCGGTTGAGGTACGTCTACGGATTGTAAGCGACAATAAGCGAGGAATTAAAGTCACGGGAGGGAGGGATGAAAGAGTTAGTCTTTGTATCGCGAAAAAATTCGCATTGGAATCTTTATTTATCTCAGACATATTTTTACTATGTTTCTATGAAATTGATATTTGTTAAATTAGAAGCCGCCAAACAACTATATTTCTACTAAAGTGTACAATTGTGATTTATTACATCAGATTGCAGTTTTACTTTCTCCTTATAATAATTCAAGAAATCTAATAATTCGATAGAAAGAAACTTTTTGAAAAACTTCAAATGGTAAAAATTAATTTAAACTAAAGTTTCTAAATATTTGGAAGCTGTTAGTATATAAGCTTGTAAGTATTATATTAGTGAAAGATCGAAGGGATGACGTGTGATAACGTGTAAGTAAGCTTGGTTTGTTATTAATATGTCCCGAGTTTCAATCGTCATCTCACGTAGATGCTTCGATTTTATAAAAAAATAATTAGAAAGTTGAAGATAGTGAATGGAGGAGCGTTTCTCTCTCGGGTATCCATTGGTATCGGATTGTTATCCATTAAAGATTAAAATAACAAAAGATAAATAAAGATTCCAAAGCGAAAGTAGAATCTTGTAACTCTTTCAATATTCTGATACGAAAAGCGAGTCTCCGCGGAGGTGGAACTTACAAGGCTCGGGCTCGACGTCTTCCACATCCAGATGATCTATCGTATTTAATTCGACTTGAATCTTTTCCATGACCAGTCTCTTACTAGAATTAAAATGTACCGACAAGTTTTGACTTACATCACGAGCCGGGGCAGGCTTAAGACGCTTTAAGACCGGCTTCTTTTCCTAACAAAATTGAGCCTTCGATGAAAAAAATCGTTCCTCCCTCTCCGACGTTTAGCACATTTGTTTTAAGAATGCATACAAGACATTAAAGAGTATCGGCATTTTACCATCCTCGGTGTTACAAAGTTACCAAGAGACGCTCGAGATTTACAGGATTTACAGTGTTATTAATTGAATTGAAACTTACGAATAGAGACGGCTCCGGGTTCTTCTGCGTGACGACCGACTGATTCGCCTCCGCGACCGCCCGCAACAAAAGCGACTGCGTGGCGCGCTTCTGCGTCGGTTGCAGCGGCTTCAGCGGTCTCGGCGTGACGATCACCTTGCTCGGTAACCTCGTGTCATCCGCGTCCTCCTCGTCCACGTCCCTGGACGTCCCTTTGTCGGACGTCTTGTCCAACTGCGATTTCGCGGCCCCGTGTGCCAGGTAACCGATACTCTGAGCCGCGCCGAACGGTATCTCGTTCGACGTCTTCATACGTTTCCTCTCGATCCTCGCGGCGGCGGCCGCAGTCGCTGCGGATCTGCGAACGGCGACTATGTGCGACTTTACGGGTCCGATCAGCTGCTCGCTGTCGTCCGCCTCCTCCTCCTCCTCCTCCTCTTCATCTTCGACTTCCTTCCCCTCCTCTCCGTCGTCTCTCTCGGCGACGGGATTCAGGGAGACTAGAGATTCGTCGTCCTCGCGACGCTGCCTGCTCTGTTGACGCACCAGCCTGAAATTACTCCTCAACGGACCGAGTCGATCCTTGATGTTCTTATTGTTGATTCCCGTCGTTTGTTCCGAACTCTTCGGCTTGTTCCGGTAATCCGCCGTCTCTTGCGACTTGACGGAAGATTGTCTCTGGGCCTTACTGTTGATGCCCGCGATGCCCAGACGATTCTTAATAGTGCACGCGGACTTTATCGCGGACGCGTCCGTCTTCGAACCGGAATTCAGGCTCCTGTCTCTCGAATCCACATTTCTGATCAGTCTCTCGCTCTTGCTGCTCTCTATCCGACTCCTCACGTCGTTGACTTTGCTCGCGGCCTGCTCGTGATGCCGCGACGAGTCGCCGTCGCGGTTCCGCCTGGAGCCCCGATCGTCCGTCTCGAAGTTTCTGCCCTTGCCGCCACGTCCGTTGTCGTAGCGATGCGGCTTCTCGAACCGCTTCTCCGGCGGACGGTAGCGGCCATTGCCCTCCTTCTGCCTGTAGGACTCGAACTTCTTCCGCGGCGAGACTATGCCGAGCCGGTTCTTCACCGACACGACCGACGTGATCCTCGGCTTGTTCACGCAGGACTTCAGCTTCCTCGAAGCCGTGTCCGGCGAGGACGACGTGTCCTCCTTCGCCTCCTCGGACAGCCTCGGCCGCTTTACCTCGTTGCTCTTTCTCTCCGTGCTATCGTGACGAGTACTCGAAGTCTCGGACGGTCGCTTCAGACTCTTAATCGGCGCCTCGCTCTCTTTCGGATCGCCATGCGAGTCCGCGCTCCTCGCGGCGGGATTCTCCGGCGCGGCGACGCTTCTCGCGTTCTCGTCGCGCCCGGAGGTCTGCTGCGGCTTCTTCGAGGAGGAGGAGTCCTGAGAGGACCCGCCGCCGTGCGTCGACGACGCCTCGTCCGTTCTACCTTTGCCGTGCGCAACTTTCACGCTTCTCTCCGCGCTCCTGCTGTGACTCCGCTCCGGGTTTTGATTAGATACGGACGATTTCAACGCCTGTGGCTTCTGCGCCGGCACTTGCTTGTCGCTCTTTGCGCTCTTGTCCGAGAACTTCTCGACGGTCGGGACCTGCTCCGTCGTCTGGTCCTCCAGGAACGAGGTCGCGGACACCTTCTTCTTCTTCCTCTCCTCCTCCTGCTTCACCACCACGGTAGGCACAAACTCGCGGGACGATTTCTTCTTGGCCACAGTGACCTTCTGCAGTTTCTTTAGCACCTGATCGTGCAGCCAGTCCACGAACACGGTCGTGCAGTCCTCCAGGAATAGATTTAGGTCGTCGTGCATCTGCTGACGAGACTTCTTGTTGACTACCATCACCAATATGTAGTCGGGCAGTTCCTCGTCGTAACGGACTCCCAATTCCATGAGCTTGGCGCGAATGGCGCTCTGAAATGTTAGGGCAAAACTCACTTAGCGAAAACTATACAATGCATTCGTTCCTTATATATATACTTTATAAGCTTTTGCAGCTAAAGAGTAAATAAAAAAATCAGACCCCATGAACAATTTATTGCATAAACTGTTTTAAATGTTTCAATTGCTTTTTTTGAACAGTTATTTGACACACAACTTTTGAACATCCCTACAATAACGTTTTAACCTAACGTTTAAAAAATTCTAATGCAAATTAATGTTTCTAGGATGCTTTCCATTTAATGATACAAGTTGACACAAACGTTATTTTATTCTCAACAGTGAGTAAAAAAAAATAAAACTTGTATCGACTTGCATAAATGAAAAGAACCCCTGATTAACATTGCTAAATATGATATAACATTAACATTCAGACCGTCTATTGTTCTGAATCGATTTATAAGTCAGTGATTTGACTTTTCATAAGAAATAATTCAACGGTAATAATTCAACTACCTTGACGACACTCAACGAGTTTACGTTTTATTTCTCTAAAATAAGATATATTCCTTGCAAAAATGTTCGTGCTGTAACATACTTGCGGAACCTGATTTTTCATACACTATGCATTCGATTATCATCTACATAAATCTCGTTAATTACGTACGTCGTTTTTAAGAGCATTGCAATTGCGTGTCACAGATATTCTTATATTTTTTTCTAAAAAAAAAGGCAGAAGTGGCTTCCAATCGTTTCTGTATTCTAGACTTCTGCACGCACGGAGAGGTCAACGCTGCGTGTAAATAAACAAGCAAATAAACTCGGAGTCACCGCGTCCGGCTGAGCAGCGACGACACACGAAGGACACACGTCGCTGCGAAACCGTCGTGTCTCTCCGAGGAACTCCGAGGACGATTACATAATAATCGGAGTATCAACGCGCGGGTGTCAGACGCCACCGTCTGGACCTTCGTGCGACCGGGCGATTCTATGCTAAACAGCACCCTCGCGTGCGTCCGGGATACACTCACCCGAAGCTGATTCGTGACCTCGATGCCGCGCGTGTCCATGATCGCGGGACGATCGCCGGGTCTGCACAGGATCGCGCGTGAACCAACGTCGACGTCGTCGTCGTCCTTGCCGCCGCCGCCGCCGCCGTCGCCGCCGTTGTCGTCGTCGTCGTCGTCGTGTCGGTGACCGGCCGAATCGATGAGCCGATGATGCGATCGCGAGTCGGCGTATCACGGAACGAAAACATTCTCCGCCATGACGGACGGACGGGACGTCGTTTCGCTCTCACGGCGCATGAAACGAGTCTGGTGGACGCGCGAACGAAACGCGGCTTCGCAAGTCCTGCCAGCGTGACGACGACGACGATCCTCGGCGAGCCTTGCTTGGTCGAGATCGCAATCGGAAATTCACTTGGAGGCAGGACGGATCGCACAATCGAGAGAGAGAGAGACAGACCTGACACGAACCTCTGAGAGAGTGGACGTGCCCGTGATTTAGGAACACGTCTAGTGGCGCCACTGCGCCGCGCACGTCGACACTACGTAGCCACACGAAGGTAACTCCGACGGCTGTGGGAATATTACCTGCCGGAAATGTCTGTGGCTACCGTAGTGTCGAGTTTTCCCGCACGTAGAGGCGCCAGTAGACGAGTTCCATTTCAAAGCGCGGGCACGTCCACTTTCAGGCTCTTCGGCTCTTCTTTCGTTCGAATTCTGATTAATTTATTAAAATACTTGCGCTATTGTATATACGAATTACGAGTAATCGAAACTTTGTTGTTTGAGATGCACGAATTGTGCGCGCGGTATCGAGTTATGCGACAGTCTCGAAAAAGGCCATATGGCACGTATGTGTACAGTCGTGGACACATCGGTTGCGACACTTTTTTTTACAGGTTTTTAATATATATTTAATATATATAATATATACTTTATAGATAACTATTATTTTGCAAATGCGAACCACGATGTACTATCTTTAGTCTAGAGACAGTATAACACCAATCGTGGTCCGCATTTGCAAAATATTGGTGCGTTTTGAAACCTAGATAAAAAAGAAAGTGTCGCAACCGATGTGTCCATGACGTACCTCTCAGATTTCTCTCTGTCGAGAATATTGCATAGATAAATTAAAATTATTGTCAGTACCATTAAAAGACGCATGATGAAGATTTCACATGTGATTTATTCTTGTACAGATTTACATTTGTCTCTTTCTCGGCCTTAGAACATGTATATTAACATATTATATCAATATGTTCCAAGTTCTCGGCCAGAAAATACTGGGGTTTCAATTGTTTCGTATACACACATAGACAACTATGTTAGGCCAGAAAAAATATATCTATTTGTTTTATTTCTCTATGTAAAACAGGTCTCCAACTTGCATCGCGCTTTGTCCATACTCTCGTTAAATCGTGTCTCTCAGAAGCCAACTTTGTAATGTTTTCTTTTTATGTACTTATATATATAGTTACTCTTTGCATTTTCGATACTGATTCTCTCAGCAACGTGATCGAAGAAGCGTAATACGATCGTAGGTCCACAAATCTCACATATTAATTGTGGCAGTTAGATATTATCATAATTAAAAATTATAATCTGATTTTGAGATTATTGGCGGTGCAGCAAAAAAAAAACATAAAAATGAAAATTCTATACTCGTCGAAATCTCCAAAGATAAAAATCAAAATATATGTATATCGATCGCGTTTAACGATAAAAGTAACATAATATCAAAATGTGCGCATTTGTAAATAGTGCATGGTCATCGTGCTCGTTCCTCGCCGTTGTTTCGCATATTTTACTTCCGACCAGCCCTTGCGGTGAAGAAAGAACGAAAATATGTGTCGAGATATATGAAATTCTCGATAATTCAATATAAAACAGGACGCAAATATATATGCAGGTAACAACGAATCGGAATATTTTTCAACGACTATATACAAATGTATCTGTCTCTTTACTAAAGCTAATAGGCGTCACATTATTTTACATTCTTTAGCATCGTCAGATCGCGTGCACGGTCAGTAGCACCTTATACCTCTCTAGAATATGGTGTCTGTCTCTATAAAATACTGCTACATATCTTTGCTTTACGTATTGCCACGAAATCGTATCTTTTACAGTGATCCTTGAAAACGTGACGCTCCACGTTACTCAAGGATCGCATCAAGACGCGAGTTGCTCTTATTAGACAAGCGTTGTTAGACAATTAAAAAAAAAAAACGCCGTTTCAGCGTGTGTTTACAATTATCCCCGTGTTTCCAGAAGAACCAAAGCCTAGGAGTGGAATTTCAAGAAAACAGAACATTGTGGAAAGTACTTCCTTGTCGGCAGTGTTCTAGAAAAATCTGCTGAAGAAGCTGCCCTTCTTCTTGGTGGCCTTTAGGAAGATCTGATCGATGTCCTTGAAGACTTTGTCGGCAGACTGGGCCGCGTTAATGTAGTAATGGATTCCCTGTAGAGCGTAGTAGTCGACGAGTGGTGCAGTCTGTGTGTGATATGTGGCCAGTCGTTTCTTCAGGGCGTCCTCGTTGTCGTCGGATCTCTTGATCAAGGGCTCCCCGGTGATCTGTCGGAGATAAAGATTACGCTTCAACATCCAGGACTCTACTGCAACGCTGCATAATTTTTTTCAGTTATGTAACCGTTACACTTTTGCATACATATCGATTACCGAAAACAACCGTTGAGCGTTATCTTCGGTAGAGATATATTATCAAATTCGTGCACAAGGGTCAGTATGTCGCTGAGCTTATCTCTTATTAGCATTTCACGAACGGGTCGATTCGTATCGGGTAAAACAAAGAAACTTTTCCAAGTTACGTCGTGTAAAAAGCTTTTCTATCATTTTTCCAGTCTTCTCGTCACTTACGTCGTCCTTCATGGGAGCTTTGGGGGGCGCGAACACCTCGTGGTAAGATCTACCACTGGCCGGATGTATCAGCCTGCCTGTGATTCTTCTGATCAATAACTTGTCGTCGATACCGAACTCGATCACGGCGTCGAGGTTAGTTTTCCTCTTGTTAAGCATTTCGTCGAGCTGTGCAAGGAAAAAATAAAAGGGAAGAAATTGATCAGACACAGCGATTCTGCTTCCATTTCTTTAGAGCGTACTAACTCTTCCCAGCATACCTTCTCCGCTTGAGGTACACTCCTTGGAAAGCCATCCAGCAGGAAGCCACGCTTGCACTCGGGTTTCTCTAGATTGTTCTCGATCATGCTGACCACCAGGTCGTCGCTGACCAACTTGCCCTCGTCCATTACTTTCTTAATCCGTGCTCCGAGGGCGGAACCGGAGCTAACCTCGGCCCTCAGCATATCGCCCGTGGACAGATGACACACGCAGTATCTGTCTTTGAACAGGGGGGCCTGAAACAAACATCATTCAATGTCACTATCTTGCAATTGTAATTAAGCATATGAGCTTTAAAATACCTTTCTAGTCGTCTTTGATTTTATAAAGATAAATAATTAAAAAATAATTAAAGGTTATTCCAATAGTTATATAAAAAGTAATTAAAAAACATTCAAGATTTCCAAGCTTTTTACAAAATAAACTACAAGGGCAAGAAAAATTTATTGTCAACATCCTCGATAGAGCAGACCAAGCGACATGATCAATTTCATTTTATTCAATCAATCAGTGCAGGTCACGTGCGAGAGTGTCAATCGAAAGAGCGACAAGTAGTTCGGCTAATTGAGACGTAACGAGGCGCGAATTTTTTTTTATCTCGACGCAAAAAGAAAATACCTGAGTGCCCTTGCCGCTGCCGGGCGGTCCCAACAGAACGGCGTTGATCCCGCTCGTCGGTGTCTCGAGCTTCTCCTGCGGCACCACGTTCGTTTGCGGCGGCATATTTTACGGGTGTTTCGATTACCGGGGACGGTACGAAAAGAAAATTCGCGCGACTAGCCTCCGGCAGCGGGAATGCTGAACGTGCCGAACCACGTTCGTCAGCGGAAGCCGCGACGACACCACGACCACCGCGCGTTACCTCACCACGAGCGATAATCGCGCGCGACGGATCGCTGGAACATCCTCTCTTTCGTAGCACGCGACGTGCGTGCGTAAGCAAATCGGCCCGTCGGCGGTCGGTCGGTGCGAATTTGGCCTTTGCCCGAGACGCGGCACGCCTCATCTGTCGACCGCCGCAAGAAACGACTCCGCGCCCGACTCTGTCGATTTAAACTTAAACTGCGAGAAATACGCGCGAGCAAGATACATAAAATGAAATATTTAAAAAATATATTCGTTTGTGTGAATAATACATTGACATTGTCTGTTAATATATTAATTAATAATCATGATTGACATAACAGAATCAATTTCGATATTGCGATCCTTGTCATTGCAATTAATATAATTATCCCAAGCAAAAAAAGTCATCATCGAAATGACGTCAAGTGGCATAAAAAAATAATTATTTAAAGTCCTTTCGATTAATCTAACGTTACTTTAACGTTATATCATGGTCTATTATTCTGCTTGGGTATATTCTAGAATTCTAGCTTAGTAGAATTGTTAATTAAAAGCTAGAATTTTGATAATCATTGGAATGTAATGTTTAATGTATTTAACATTATATTCCAACTATTGCAAATTATTGTAAATTGTTGCAAATAATTTTTAAATTCTTACACACATACAATATCTATCAACATAGAGTAACAAAATTATATTCTAACGAATGTAAATTATTAAATTATGCTACACCAATATGATCGTAATATCGAAATTAATTCAACCAATTCAAACAATAAACAGAAAAGTTATCTATTACTTAAAAAGAACGTAGCAAGGTGCAGTTAAACAAGACATTGCACAATGCCTCTTCGCAGAATTTCTCGCGAAGAAAAGATATCAATTCCAAGACACGGCAAATAAAGTTTATTATTAAAATGAACGATCAAATTAAATTATAAGAAATTATAAGAATGCTAGATTTGTAGACGATAATTGTAGGATCAATAAGCTTTCGTTTCGAATTCTTGCATTTAATGTTCCCGTTTTATAATATTGCAGATACTCATACAAGTTTTGACAATAAATGATTGTACGCAAGGCTCTCGGACAGGTTGAAACAAAATTCCTGTGACAGGCATGAAATGCATAATGGAAACGGCCAAATATGCGCAGAAATCGCGATGCTGCTCTGTTTCCCTTTCTTCGAAGACAGGGTGACAATTAAAAGAGAGTGATCGTTTCTCGCTATTCGGTAATCGCATTTCCGTTCGTACACACGAAGGTTTTTTCTTTTTATTACCCAACAACCGAACGAATTCGTTTGCGTTGTTTTTTTTTTTTTACGTAACGCAGAATTCGATATAGTAAATAGACAGTCTGAGCGTTGATCAATTTTAAGCTCGAGCGATCCTTTGTTGCATTCTGTATAAAAATATCGCTTCTGAGAGCCGCGAGAAATTCCTCCTCTCCCGGGAGGATTAAAGATATCCACCCACGATTTACAATCGCAGAGGTTGCATTATAAAAAGAAAAAAAAAAGAAAAATCTCTATGAGAAGCCCGAAGGAGATCGCGTTTCCCGAAGAAGCAATCGAAAGAGAATTGAACGCGTAACATAGGTACGCAACGGGTTCGTTTAATTACAGTCGGCGAGAAATGATCGCGCAAACGCGTATGTAATGCAAATAGAAGAGATTTCGGCAGCCTCTTTGTGTTACATGTTATATGCAAAAATAGACTTCTACTATCACCCTCTCTTGCGCCGACGAGGTACGACGAGAGGAAACCGTCCGTTAGGGGAAACCGCGGTGTCGAACTTCCTTTTTCCTCCCCCGCAAAGATTGCACGCGCATCTGCATTTACGTGGTCTTTATTTAATATCGCGACTCCGTCCACGGCAAGGAGATATTCACTCGCGGAAACCTGCTTCTATTTGCCCCGCCGAGGGGGGGGGAAGTATCGCTTCTTCGGTCTTTATATATATGCTTCGTCATGAGTTAATTATGCGAACGAACGCACTGTCATGCATCCTCCAACAGCGGGTATATAATTATTGTCTATGTATATATATATGTATGTGTATGCTTGTATACATATATAATGTGTATATTTATAGATTCTACAAAAAACGCGTCTCGCATGTTTAGATATCACCCATGACTTGGTCGCTTTTTCTTGTCTTTAACCGCGATTTTACACAGATGAGGGAATCGCTCTCGCGAGGCGTTTCCGCGAACGACTTCCGGCGCAAGAGGGTGACAAAGTCTGCGGAAGCGTTCGCGGACCGATAGATACGCGACGAGCGGCGTTTTTAATTATTTCTTCTTTTTTTCTTTTCTAGAGTGTTGCACCAGTGTTTTTTCTCTCTCTCTGTCTCTTTCACCCTACAGAATCGCTCGTGCAAAACGAAACTCGACCGCACTTGTTCGTTATCTTCGATATCGGCAACGCAAAGCAGACGCGCGAGGAAACGTGTTTAAACTAACATTGCTCGTTTGATTTACGGAAAAATTTCACGGTCAATATATAAGGACGGCGTACAAATGGATGAATTACACAGCGGGTGTGTTACAATTCTACTTAGGTGCGACCGAGGAGACGTAACAGACGTGTGTGAACGACAGAAGATACCGTGCTTGTACGATCGGAGGTGCAGGTGTTACGTTGTAAAACGCAAGTTGTGTCCCGGCAAGAAACGAAACTCACATATAAACTCGCTCTAGGAGCTCACACAATCGCGTAAAAATTGCGCAAATTATATAACAGCTTTCTGCAGCGTATATCGCGTCTATCAATTGTACATGTATCAATTGTAAATCAGTCTGAAGCAGCCTGAGCCAGTATAAACTACCGATCGCGCTTTACGGCATTCGTCGCGATATAAATAATTTCTTCTACTCCAATAAATATTATATCTAATAAATATCTAATAAATATCAAGTAACTCTGTACAAATAATACTCGGATTATAAATACTAAAAAGCAGAGACTCATGTAGGCTATATGTTATAAGAATAAAAAGTTGCGACGAGAAAATCATGTCCCCTTTTGCGTATCGTAGGAGAGCGGACACAATTAATCGCATGCGCGACGTCGCGAAGAGAAAATCATCACGGCGATCGGGATGTGATTTCCCCCCTTAAATTATGTTATCCGTATCCGTACAAACGTTTTCAGTACAAATGATACTATTATACATATCGTCATATATCGTAATAGAGACTTATGAAATTGGTGGGTTTTATGAAATCCGCTAGAACTTAGATTGCTTATTGTATATATAGTAGTCCTAAAGTATAATTATTATGCGTCAAGAGTTTTTTTTTTATCGGTATTCAGATATTGCGTGTAACTTGGTGTTAACCGTTTAGCCTGCTAGAAAATTTGTTTACACATTGTGTATATGATTCTTCGAACCCTCTCCGTCCCACCACCTTACCACCGCGCGCTCTACTCCCCTCTTCCCCTTCCGCCCACCGAAACGAATGGTTCGCATATAGTCATAGTAACAGCTCAAGCCTATTTGGTCGCAACGACTCGTCAACAATGTATCTAAAGTCCTAGGAATGGCGTAATATTAATTAAACATCTCTTTCTCTCTGCACGTGTTTACAACGATTAGTCTGCATAAGCATTGATCTAATGTTTCTTTTATCACACTTTTTTTTCCCGCCTTTCGAAGGCTCGAGGATTTACCTTTGCGAATATATTTCAATATATTTCAACCCCCGGAAGCAACCTCGGAAAAAAAAAACGAAACACTTAGGATAACTCTCAAAGCCCGCAGAACTGCGCTAAAATTGTACTATTCGGTTGTGAACGATGCGTCTAGGGTTCTATCTAAGAACTCTAAGCCAACACATGATGATACACAATTGACGCGATCGACGGCAACGTGTCTGACGATCGACGTCTATAAATACTCGCGACGCGTCGCGAAAATACACCGAGCAAGGATAAGACTGTTTATCGGGTTTATCCAGCTGGCAAAAGGAAGTTACGCGTGTCGTCGACGCAGAACGCCATGGACGAAAGTGTCACGCGTCTTTCTCTCTTTCTCTCTCTTATAACAATATTAAACTTTGGAATAATCGCGTACAGCCGATATTTGATTACCCGGGTACTCGCAAGTAGAAACTACCATTTACAGAATACGCTTACATACTTCTTTTCATGCAGGTTTCACCTTAAAACGTATTATAAGTAACCGAACGCGAGGACGCGTGCGATTTTAATTATAACATCAGCGCCGTGTCTCCCGCTGACTACAATCGTGTGCAATCGTTATTATAGAAATAGTGATTGATACGAGACCAACTCGTAATCCATTGTGCGCGTGCACGTACATATCCCAGCTTACTTCAACGCTACATTTTGTACAATTCAGTAAACGTCATTTCGCGCCTCGAAAACGAGTCGAAAACGTTTCTCGTTCATCTATCTGGCGCAGCTATATGAGACAACTCGTTCGACCGTTCGCAGCGCGATCGTCGTGGAACGTGAGGCTTCTCGCTCGATTTCATCTTTTTCTCGTACAGTATAAAATACCCGTGAACGTAAAAGGATCCTGTTCAGCTTAACGTTCGCAAACGCAAAAGCGTTTACTCAACGAGCCTTACATGCCGGATTGCATATAAGAAAGGTAACAAAATGACGCAACTCATCATTTCGTTTAAGTGCTGTAAAAGATTTCCAAAAACCGTCTCTGTCATTTTAGAAAAATTCTTGATGACACCGTTCCCAACGGTGGATGTTCCTTCAACATCCGCGACTGCGGCGATCTCCGCGAGACGAGCAAAGGTCTAACACACTAGCGGGCTCTCTAGTGTGTTAGTCGCCTGTTTCATATGGTCTCTTGACTGTTCACCGACTGCGAGCTGCGTGATGTTTTTCGACTGATCGGTTCCAGATACGCCGCGGGCGCCCAGCCCTCTAGGCCGCTGCCGATCAGTTTGACGAACCACCAGCCGGCACAGCCGACTTTGAGAAGCTCCAAGGTGTCGCCCTCGCGCATCGTGACCTCCGACTGTCCCACCGCGCAATAATCGGCCAACGCCACATATCGTCCGCCCTGCAATCATGTAAGACAAATACATTTACCTATATATTCTGTCAAGACACCCGCGAAGAATTTAGACGCTGAGAATACAATATGTTGTCGTTAAAAAAAATCAAATTTACCAACTCTCGTATAGATTAAATTAAGAAAAAAAAATTTGACGAAATTAAAACCTGGATTGTAACAATTTTTCGAGTTTCTACGCTCCAAAATTTTTTACTCAGATCTAAAAGACTTATTCTCAGCGTTTAAATTCCTCAATGAAGGAAACACTCACGGGTGCCGGTCCCGGACTGTCGCCAAACGCGTCCTCCTCGTCCGTATTGCTGTTTTCCGAACTCCACGCCACGTCCTCCTCCGTGGACTGCGACACATCGGTCATGTGAGAGATAACGCTGTTGCTGTCGACGGACAGCGTTCGTAGAGATCCCGATATACTGCCCTGAGCCTCCCACGAGATAGTTTGCCGCAACGGCCTTTTAAAAGAAAAGAAAATGATAAAATAGGAATTCCAAGAATTAGAAGATATACGCATTGTTAATTTTTAACAACAATCACGTACTTATGATTAGATTTTCCAAGAGCCGAATTCTGTTTGCCCTTGAGTTCGGCCAGCTGGGACATCAGAACGCCTTTAATCTGACGTACCCACGACTGCTTCACGTCAATGCTCGGCGCTTGTATCGTGTGCACCTCGGCTCTACCCTGCAGCCATATCTCGAATCGTCTGGCGTCGCCCTTCACCGATTCCGTCAGACCAATCTGCGACATCTGCATTGAATAGAATTACGTGTAAATTGCTTAAACGTGCTTGGTAAATGGAAAGAGAGATAATTCTAAGATTGAAAGATACCTTCAAATATCTTTTAAAATGATACGTGGCCTTGTCGTGGGCTTGAGGCTTGCTGTGCTTACAAAATATCATAGCCTTCTCGTATAAGAAAATATGTCGCTGAGATGGTTTTAGTCGCAGCAACCGCTCTCGCTTACTGCTGCTCCAGACGCTAAATGAGCCTTGTAACAATAATTCGCCCTGTGCACTCAGATCGCCCTAAAAAAATCGAGATACACAAGATAAGATAAAATTAAAAAAAAAAATCGCAATAGAAAAGTCAATGAAAGATGCTCACTCCAAAACCCGTTATCGCAGTTTGATGCATGCTGTCGTTAACGCACTTTAACACAACCAGCATGCAATCCAGCGCCTCCTGCAACTCGGTGCAGCACGAAGGCTCGTCGCTATACTTTAACAAATCCTTTAACAATAACTGGTACTTGGTAATTCGCTGAACAGGCTTGAGAAGATAGGCAGCGAGCGGCAGCTTGTGGCCGAGTTTCTGCTGGCAGGCCGCGAGAAACTGCGGCTCGCTTTGTATTTGTTCGCGCAATCTCTCAGATCGCGGAATGTTCTGACAATAATAACTGTACAATCTGAAGAACATCTCGCGCTGGAAACGTACATAAAATTAGTGTTTACACAGACATGGGGGGACGTGTGTACGCGTAATATAAGCGCCGTGCACTACTCACCCTTTGAACGAAGCACAAAGCGACGAGCTCGGTATTCGAAATGCAGTTTTCCAAGTCCCTTAGAAACGTCTCCCCATGAAAAATATAAATATCCTCTAAGTTTCCAAACAACACGTCCGCTTTGCCAACTAGCGCCGCGGGTATCAAGTGAGCCATCGCCTCGTTCGTCATTTCCATCTTGTAGCCTTTAACAATCGAGCCGAGTTCGGCGACGTAGATTCGCTCGGTCTCCACGAGTTCCCCCAAGACGTGGCCGCGCTTCAAGCGCAAAGCTTCGATGTCCCGAGGCTCGCTTTCCGGCGACGAAGACTCTCCCTCTATAGGACTCATCTCCATCTTAAGTAAAAATAAAAATAGAAAATTTCGATGTGATATAAAAAAAATTTATAAAAGAAAAAAGTATATATAATTTTTCAAATATTCGTAAGAAAGAAAATTTACCTTTGGCATGGTATTAGCTTTTTTGAGGATTCTGCCGGACTTTATGGTTTGAGGCAGTGATTGCAAGGGTTTGACTGGTTCTGGAGTGACGGTTTGTACTGGTCTGGCTGGTTTGATCAACTGCTGTTTTAGTGCCATTATCCTCTTGTCGCACATCAAGGATACATCCTCTATCCTTTGCAGAACCTACGAGACAGAAACAGATTTCGAATCGATGCGCGTGTGTGTGTATATATATCATACAATCAGAAAACACGCACTTGCGTGATGAGCGCTTTAGTTTCCGGCATCACGGAATCCTGGAAGATACATCGGGGATGGTGGAATTCCTCCGCGGCTTCGATCAGCTGCTGCAGCTCTTGGAGCGCTTGATCCGGTGGCGTCGTGCTGTTCTGTGATGCTAGCAATTCTATCCCTCGCGTACACCAAGTGTTAGCCTTAACAAAGAATTAACTCTTCAGTCGGAGAGGAGAGGCAGGTAGATCTGAAAACGCGAGCTGGCCGTACCTTATCTATACGCTCCATAAGTTCCCTGCACTTGGTCAGCATGAGCAGCCGTCTCTCCAGTCTCTGACTGAGAATGGTGCAGACTCTCTGCAGCTCCACGCACTTGGGCTCCACAACGTCCGCCGGGCACTGATGCCTGCCGGACAGTAGCTGTTGTCCAGCGGTTATCACCTCCTCCGCGTGATCTATGTCTCCCTATAAACACATATAATTATACTTATGCACGATAACGCGATTAGACGTCGGTGTATAGATATGAAGGTGCTACTGAACAACCATGGCAATGATTCTTAGGCTCATTAAATGATCTAGAAAGAAAATTTCTCGTGAAGGAAACAAAAAGATACACTATTATTTGTGCGTGCAATATGCAGAGATCGAGAAATCATAATGATAGTCACATTCTCAAAAGTTCATCGTGCCAGTGATCGGACATGAATCAAATCTCCACCGGTTTTCCGATGACACTTATGCGTGCATTTCAACTAAAAGAAATGAGAAAACGAAATAAGACGTTAGCTTTAAACGTGTAATCAAAATTTAATTTAATGTAGCGCCTACGAAATACTTGTCGAAACGTAACGTTTTCTATTCGACTCCAAGATAAGTATACGACTGTGATATATGTGATAATGTAGATGCTAAGATATCAAAATTACTGTGTCTTAAAATGTATAAAAACTCTATTACAAAATACATGTATTTTGTTAAGTGGATTGCTTACCAAGACCCAAATCCACATGGTATGCAACAAATAGGACTATCGACAAAATGAGGAAAGCGGTGCAAAGTAACATTTTGTGCATGATGTGCATGATTATATATGTTACTGCTGATAATCACGTTCAAACCAGAATTTACGTGTTACATATAAACATGATGACAAATATTTAAGTGATAATATAATGATGATAAATATTTAAGTGATTCGTTCCTGGCATATAATCACGATTCGCGAATATAATTATTACATTTCTATTTCTTTACGAAATTTATAATTTATCGCAAAAAGAGAATAATACTGATTTCATCTGATTTCGTAATAAATTTAAAAAAATACTGGTTTGAATAGTGCATTTTGATGCTTTGAGGGCAACATGTGTACATTCTGAAGTTAGCAATGTTGTTAAATTGTTTCGCTAACAACAAGTCATCGTATAATCATCGTACACAATGGGTCATTAATTTTATCTTTCAACAAACAACTCTTTTATACTAAAGGATGTAACTTCGTACGCTATTTGAAAATCCAAAACAGGATTTCATTAGGTATTTTACCAGTAACATGATCAAGTAATTGTTAATTGTCGTTAATTCGACAATTAACAATATATTATAGTACATCGTCGAAAAATTAATAAAAAAAAATATCACGTACTCTGCATATTCGCTGAAATGCTGATGTATCGTGCAACAACTGCTCCACTCTTGCTTGCGTCTCGCCGACTTCCGTCATATCTTCCGCCGTCTTTAGATGCTGGTCTAACGTCGCTTGCAACTCTCGAAAATCTTGCTCGAATTGCCGCAGAGCTAGACAGTGTCTCAAACGTGAGCTATGATGCGACCAAAACAAGTCGAAGGTCCGCTCGGTTTCCTCCAACTGAACGAGTAGTCTGAAATTAAACCGAAACGTTAAAAGCTACGGTATATTACAATAGTCAAAGAATTTAAATATTTTAATTTATTTTCTTATTGAGTTAGATATTTTATTTTTTATCAGATTAATTAAATCTAGTGTAAAAAAAGCAAACAACTTAAAAAATATAGTTATTTCGTCATAAATTTGAATTTATTATTGTTAAATTTATTATTAATTATAGAATTTCTTGTGTTACCTTTCTACTGCGGCAACATTTCCTAATCTGTCGGCCGTTCCTTTTCCAGTTAACTGCCGTACACTGTCCAGAAGAGCTTCCCCGTGCCTGGCAGCGCTGAGTATTTCTTCTTTCAACTCGTTATACTCAGCTTGTTGCTGCGACAATAGTGTTGTCGTAGCGATAGTGTTGTTAGGAAATTCCACTTCGGCCAAACGTCGCGTGAAAGAGTCTAACGCGAGGGACACGTCCTGCGTCATCGATGAAAATTTTTCCAAACTCTGCACAGAGAAAGAGTAACACGAAAATTCATTATGACTGAAAAAAATGCAAAAGTTAATTATACTGCAGTATCGCTAAATTCGTTATATTCGATATATTTACAATTCTGTTCTGTATCCAAGTATGATGGCAATACGGCAAATCGCCGCCGAGTTGCTCGGTGAGCTGTTCCTTCTCTATGAATTCGTGCAGCTCGACGACGTTAGCCAGGAATATCACCCTGAATTTGAAATCCTCCCGGAACAATTTGTTCGACACCTCCGAAATGGCCTTTTGTAAAAATCCGACGGGTCGTAACACATACGCGACATGTACCAAACCGGGAAAAAATGCCTGGTAAAAAAGAAAACCATAGAATTTTTACGATGAGAAGAATCCTATCTCAATTTCGATCTATATTTTTAAATACGGATAAAACCGTATGAATTATTACGCGCATGTTGAGTGCACTTACAGAAATTTTTAGAAGAACCGTTTTCACAGAATTCCACTTGTCGTTTCTCCGGTCAATTATTAAATGAAACCCAAGATCAGCTTCTTGCAATCTGAATGATGAAGTGTGAAATATAAATGCAATTTAATTTTTAATTCAGGCGTTTAATAACAGCACAAAGGAAGAAAGTCATGCATAAGTTAATCGCGTTCAATTAATCAGCTGTTATTCTTACGTTGGCACAGAAGTGAGATACAGCATGAGACGCTGATAGTCCAAATCAGTCAAATTATGAAAATTGCCATTGTCTGGAAATGTGATTATAGGACATCCCTCTCGCGTTTTTCCTCCTGAAAAGAACATAGGAGCTCAGGGAAAAGCTGCTTAAAACAAACGCTTATCTTGAGGTCTCAGAAGCAGAAAATCTCGAGAGCAGCTTATAGCGTTAAATATTTACCAGCAATAATAGCGTATTGTGCCTGGAGAAGGTCCGCAACGTCTCGAACTGCCAAGTCTCCATTTTCTATCTCGCCTGTCATACTCTCTACATCTTCTGAAAACAAATATTACCCTTTCCATTATTGCAATATTTTCGAGAATATATTCTAGATTTACAGCGTTGCTTATTTAAATTAATAATTCGTGACAAATCCCCTTAAATTAAAATTGATAAGAAATGTACATTAAAAATTTTTAAATTACTTTAGCATACGACCGGGTAAAAATAAATTAGAAATCACTGCTCCTCCTGTCACTTTCTCATATATTTAAATATTTGCAAATGTACAGAAACTACATGTGTATACTGATAATATAAATCCTCTTAAAAATATTTTTAACATAATCACAGTGATAGAAAATTTTACCATGTATTTTATCCTTAGATTAGAATTAAAAACCGCGTGTCTGGATTATTTGAAAAAATACAGCACTTCATTACGTGTCACAGTATCATCCAATTATGGTAAAAAGCTTAAGTGACCTAACGATCCCAGTTGACACTCTCTTATGCAATGTTTACTGCGAATGCACGGCTCAGGTCTCGCTGGTGTACTGAATGCGAGTACCCGATCAGAGGTTGCACTCACATGACCTTGCTGATGCCACCGAGCTGAAACAGTTCCCTGCAGTACCCACAATATTGCTGATGTAACTGTAAACCAAGAGGCTCTCAAACGGGAAGCTATAGCCTTAATTATGCTCAAGAATCTCGAAAGACAAGGTAGTTAATTTCTAACTGCCGCGATGTATCCTAGAAAGTACCCAGTGTTGTAACAGTTTAGCGCCTCTCCTATACTTGACTATACAGCAAATAGAACTTTAGATACGACAAAAAATCATTAGGGGAGAACAAAGTTGATCATAAATTATATATTAATACCCGCATTATTTTTAACATTTCTATTATCAAATTTCTATGCAACTGCGACTAGAATCTTATTCAGAATGCTGCTCAATAATTTAATCTTAGATTTTGTCTCATAGCTGATCGATCTAAACTCGAATTTGTTTCATATATTCGTTCTTATAATGAATATCAAATATATACACGATTTCACGCATACGTGCTACAAATAAAATGTATAAATCATATGTAGGTACATAATATTTTCAGTTAATAATGATTGTAAGGAGAATTTGCGTTTGCATGAATTGAGAAACACTGTAACTGCTACTATACAGTCACTTGATTTCCATGTCTGGAATTCAAGGAAGACATGAAATACTGAGATTCTGTACTTTTGGGCATTGGGCTCATTGAATTCTTCGTATAAACAAAAGGATTGTAACATGAAGGACATAAAGAAATAAGTTATTCTTCAGTTATTCTTCAGTTTCAAAGAAAAAAAAATTTATTGTGGAATTATATGAAATAAGATGGACTATACATTTTATTGTGGAATTATATGAAATAAGATGGACTATACATTTTTAACAAATATAATTTATACAATTATTCATTCTCGTCGTTTCAATTACGATAAAAGTCTTATCTATGAATTTATTATCTACGAACATTTGGCTAAATGCTTTTTACTCGTCGCAGGAATATTTTGTGCAGCTAGTCATAAATTTTTGATGGAACATAACTTACTTATTCGATAGAGTAGTATAAAAAAAATATACTTTAACAAAACTGTTAATACAAGCGCAAGTTATACGCTTTGTATATAATTTTGAATGTCATTCGACATATCATTCGTATATACACGAAACACGAATGGTTGATAGCAAAGGCCATTAGTAATTTTCAGAAGAAATATAGTCCAGAAAAATTCCATGAATATTTTCAAACTGCATAACGCAGATCTATGATTAGTGCGACTACTCAATCAAACAAATGATAAGATTATTTTACATTACATATACGAGTAGTTTAAATTACAGTAGAAAGAAACCACATTTTTCAATCTTTCTTTTCAATTATATATATATATATGATATCATATATATTTTATAACATGTATTATATATATTTTATATATACAAACATTTGATATCATATATATAATATATATTTTATATATACATACATACAAACATATATATATATATATATATATATATATATATAAATTTAATCGACTTGCAATTAACTGGATCTGAACGTTTAAAGATTGAAAAAGTTGTTAGGATTGCAGAAACAAAAAAATATCAATTCAGTGATTAATTTTAGCGCTTTTGAAAAAACAGGAACATAAAATATCCCTTATAAAGATTCTAAATTGACTCATTTACTTATGCCTTCTTATTGTTAGTGAGATAACTGTCAGACTGGAAATGTTAAAAACACAATCGAATAATTTTGCAGAATACAACTAACTGAATTTACATGTCCAACTAAAGAATAGTGTTACATGTTTTATTTTTATATTCTTAATTACAAATTTAATTAATTTAAAATTATTTTTAAAAAATTCTCTCGCGATTAATGGTAAAACCACAACAAAATTATTATCTTTTGTGATATTAATAATGAAATAATCGTATATCGTTCGTATATATTAAAAAGATTTCTTATATATTATATACATTCTGAATTCTCCGTTTCAAACCTGCGACGTGGAGCAATTGTCGAGGACTTAGAGCCTTACAGAGTAGGCATATCACATCATATATATGTATATACACATGTGTATCATTTGTATAAAACTAGTTTCACAGTCTTTCATGTTATACCACTTATACCGCTTTCGTTTTCGACAGTGCGACAGCAGGACTGTTAATTACCAATCCGTGCGTGGTGACTTGATAACTCACAGTGCAGTCCTGCAACTTTCTGATAGGCGTCAGCACGTAGGTATCGGTCTGCCCCAGGTCTCTGGTTATCACCAGCGGCAGTATCCTGCCGCCACTTGTCTCGATGGCGATCTCCGACTTGGGCGAGCTCCGTTGGCCCGTGTCGTCCCGCGTCGCGTCCGGCTCGGCCGTACAGTGATTCTGCGCGGTCTGGTTTCTCACGACGAACTCGAGCTTGGCGAATTTCACCTGCGGGAACTGCACCTTCATGAAGCGTCGAAACGTCGAGTAGCCCAGTCTCTTGACGTTGGGCGACACTCGTTTGCAGTAGTGCGCGTACAGGTCGTGCACCGTTTTCCGCGTCACGTCCGACGGCAGATGCAGCGGCGCGTTCTTGGCGAGCTTGGTCTTCTGCCTCATCTCCTGCATCTGGATGAAGTTCTTCAGGAACTTCATCGCGATCTTGTACGTTTCCAGCGAGAACGTATTGTGCGGTATCTTGCCGTGATTACCGTGCACCCGCGGCGTCACGCCGTGCGTCATCAGGTGCTTCCGGATCCGCTTGAGCTGATAGTGCGTGCAGTTCTCCAGGTACAGAAAGGCGTCCAAACACACTCTTCGGCCCTGATAAACGTATTGCGCGCGCAATCTACGACGTTCCGTGTGCCGGGCGGTTTGATAGGGATCCGTCAGGCAGGCCATCGTCACGCCCATTAAATACATGTCGTGCTCGGCTTTAGTTAGCTCCGCGATGTTTAGCCTGTGCCGATAAATCACCTCGGGATTCAGGCCCTTGAAGCACTCATCCTCGATACACTCGCAGCCTTTCTTGAAGCGTTCCTGCACTTGGGCTAGATTGTCCTCCAGTTGCGTGGAATCGCAACTCGTTTGATCGTTCCGTGCTTTCTTCGTCTTGCTCTTCGTGTCCTTCGTGACGGTCTTCTCGGGCTTACTGGTGGAGACACTCTTGCATTCCTCGTGTTTCTATAATGAAGACAAATCGATGTGTGTCAAGCAAATTGTCAATTTTAGATTGCAAAAAACTGTTTGAAATCATTTACTAAATTGCATGTATCGGCGAGATGCATGAAGTTTATATTAAAATATCTATGCATATAAACAAATTTCATGCGATTTTTTTAACTGAAAAAAGTGAAAATTATACATAAAAATAGGTACAATGTAATAGTTTGGAATTTTACCTTTTTCTCCACATCCATTACTTCTGACTGCTTTGTTATTTTATTTTTAACAGCAGCTTTCACTTTTTCTTTATTGTTCTCCAACACTAGCTCCATATTGTATCTCGGTTCGCACGATAGTTTCCTGTGATAAAATAAAATATTTTATAGCATCTCGATTAAATAAAATAATTACAATGATTAAATAATCATGCCAGTTTCAGTGACAATAAATTCCAGAGGCAAAACAAGATTTGAAGAATATTTGAACATTTAGAAAAGATTTGAAAAATACTGTTACACATAAGATAAATCTATTCTAATGATAATTTTAGTTTATAACTTTGATAATTTTTAAACATTAATTTCCTTTTAATTTCATCATGTTTCAGTTGCACTTTCTGCTTTTTGTTTCTCTCCTCCTTTCTCTCCCTCTCTCTCTTTTTTTCAAACAATAAAATATCTCTGTTATTTTAAATGCAAAATGTGCAGCTACAAAAGAAAACAATACCCATCTGTTCAGCTTCTTTCAGCTACACCTTCTGCACTTGCTGGGACGAGGCAAATGCATGCACATGATCCATATATCAAATGAGAGAAATTGGAGTAAGGGTGCAATTATAGGAGGGCAAATTCCACAGACGCGCTTCTCTGGGCTGTGTCGCCGTATCCCGTAGGAAACTGCGAAAATGGGCTTCGGCGAGCGCGCGGAAGTGCAGAAAGTGCAGCCGCGACGGTAAGGTCGAGAATCGCTGATCGCGCCCCTCGGTGCGGTCGCCAACTTTCGTCCCTACGGCCTGCTACGTCGACGGTTCTACTCACCGTGTTTCGACGAGGTGTCACGAGCCCCACGGCTCGGACGGGACGTCCGGCGGTTCGGCGGACGTCAGATCGACAGGACGGTGTCTCCACAAGCCCGACCTCGCCGCGCGTAACAACGAATCGCACCGTAATTCACCAGCTAGCAGTGCTAGCACTCCCGACGATATGGCGAACGTCTAGTTCGTGTTGTTGCACGCGGCGGCGACGGGGGGCACTGTCCCAGGACCGTCCGCGACCGGGACAGCGCCCCTCGACGCTCGTCTCGTTATCGCGCAGCGCGATAAAAAAGTATCGCGCGCGCAACTTCGCGTTTTTGCCTTGGTAACAAGCATTCAATTAAAAAAAGCGTTTTTGCTTTAATCGGGAAATTTTATGTAAATCACGATAGAATTTCCCGAATATCGTTCATTTATATATCAGAATAGGAAATTTAATTGGTAATTCAGTTATAATTACTTGCACTTTGTGTCTTATTTCACATTTAAAGATTCTGAAGGATTTAATGTAAGAACGGATAAGATATTCGACGTTCATTTCGTTTGTTCGATAAACGCGAGGGGCAGGATCGGTCATTAATTACGATCAAATCTCCCGTGGATTCCGCGGAAGATTAATGAGACCAGAAAGAAGTATTCGCGGGATATACAACGTCGTTAATTCAAGTCGAGAACGTCGTCGCGGCGATTCGTTTTTCGACCCGGAAGTAATCGCACGTGATATCGACGTGCCGCGTCGCGGTGTCAATGTATTCACGACCCCGTCGCAGACACCGACCGAGGAGGAACTTCAACGGTGCGCTCGTTCCCGTGGAAGAGGGGAAAAAAAAAGCTTTCCGATGCAGCTCCGAACGGAGGCGGAAGCGCGCGGATTATTGATTGACGGGCACGATGCGGATACAGCCCTGGCACTCGACCCCTCCATCCCCCTCGCCCCCCTGTCTTTTCGACGCCCCGGCGAGGGGAGGGCGGGCCACCCCCGGAGAGAGACCGCATGCATGCACAATGCGCATTATGCGCAGCGCGCCGAGACGACGAGCACGCTCCAAATAGCATGCACCGCGCGCGCGGGGAAACGGGGTTCTCTCAAGACGATCGCGACGATGTAATCCGGTAGCGCGGAATCCTATATCCGCGACCCTCCCGTCCCGCCGTTTCAATGTCGAGTCACGGATGGTCGATCCACTCGCGTGACCCTGCACGTCCTATATGCCTCGCGCGAAAGACGTACGGATCGATTCTCCGGCCGTCTCGTCGATTGTCTCCTCGTTTCGGGAAATTGAGGAAATTTCACGCGGTTTTGGGCGTCCTTTGACCGAGATCGTAACAAGGAGATCTCGATGGTCTCCTCCGGCGCGCTTCGTTCCGCGCGCGGTTCCATCCTCGTGCGTCTCTCCGCCCGCCGCCAAGGTCGCCAGGCATTGAAACCGCGGGAGCGAGTCGCGCGCGGCTTCTCCGCGATAGCGCGAGGTCTCCTTATCTCGCGAGCGCGCGTTCTCGAGAACAATTGGGTTCCGCGCGTAAACCCGCGGAATTCGTTTCCCCACGTCACGAGACACACCGCTCGCTCCAGATACGGCGAGCTTGCGGGTACACGGCACGTTTGTACATTCAAATACGTTTATTTGCACTTGCCGATAAGGCAGCCACTTTCCAGATAAAACCATTGTCGAGTCATGTATACGCTTCGTGCAGTCGTAGCCTTCAGCAGCCAAATCACTTCGCAAACAGCCGTGCAATTCCAACTTTTTGTAATAGGAAAAAAGAAGTCCGATATACTTCATTTTCATACTGCATATTCTGTTATTAATTCTTAATTATCGTCACTAATTACTGATTCCGTTAACAAATTGCGAGAAGTGATGTAGACCGCGGAAGACAAAAGGAAACGGCACTAAGAGCGACAACAATACGTCAAAGACAAAGCCGACAATGAGTTGATATCATAAAGCGAGTGGTACTCTGCATTTATTGAAAACGCGACGCGCGCTTCTACGCCGCGTTCCACGATACACGTCGTAGAAGAGGATCGTACGATGTGAGAGAGTCAAACCTGCGCATTTAGTCGAGCAGTGCTGATGGCAGGGACAATTGCAGCTGTGCGACGACTTTCGGCGGAGAATCATCTTGGAGCACTCCTCGCCTTGGCGGTCCTCCGATACTTATCGTATATTGTCGCGGACGAACGTGTTGCAGCTTGTGACACAATAGCGCCGGCGGTACAATCAACGCTCCGCGCTCCACGACGCGCGGGGAATCATCGACCAGACTATATGTACAGCACGTTCCACAAGACGCTCCTTCAAATTCGCCGTCCACTCCGACACTCTTTCGCCCTCGTGTCCTTAACACGTCGCGCGACACTGTCGGGCGGCGACGGCGCGGGCGGCGGCGGGGTTTATTAAAGCGCTATTGCAACAGCACAGTCGTGCCGCGAAACGTCGAATCGCGATGTACAGATTTTCCACACACGGAAAGAACGATTTCGTTGAAAAGTCTAAAAATTTTGCTAAATACAGATCTGAAAATAATTGTTTGTTGAATTATCAAAATAATTTGTTGGACTGTTAAAATTGATGAGCATTTTGCTATAAAACGTTTTGATATTCTATAGCAATCATTTTGACTATCGCACAAAATTATTTTGATCATTGAACAAAAATTATTTTCAGATCTGGATTCAGCAAAATTGTTTTTTTCCGCGCAGTTGGAGAAAATTCTTCGACAGTGCTCGACTTCTACCCGGGGCAGAGGAAATTGCGATCTCAATTTGCCGAAGCGCCGCAATCAATGTAATATATAATAACTTCCGATCTAGATATCAGTGTTACGCGACAGAAAAAGAGAAATAACGTATGAAGAATTCATCGAGAGGGGTACAACCTGAATTTACATGCTAACTCAGCGCAAAAGCCTCGCCGTGTTTTGAGCTACTCTGTACATCGTCAGCTTCGTTATGCAACGAAAATTGGTACACGATACTGCAAAAGCGAAGACTGACGGTCGACGGAGGTTTCGCGGCAACCCGAGGTTCGCTCGCCGGGAGTTATCGCCGCGTCGTAATTAAACGTTGCGCGATAATATCGGCTATTCTGATCGACGCTCTATGCAAGTAGGCTGAGGACTTTCCGCTACAGGCATTCTCAAATCTGGCAGCGCGCGGTGAATTTCCTCCTTCACGCGAATTAAAAGGCGCGCGTTTCGGACTGCGCTTTGCGCGGAGGCCGGCAACGTCTCGGCCCACCCTGTACATACGTGCACACACCGGTCGAACGTTGTCGGCTAATATACAGTTTGACGTATAGTTTACGTCAATTGGCGTATTACGTATGCCTTGTTTCATCCTCCGCTCAGACTTCCGCGAAAATTAAGCAACGTCCTCGAAACATTCACGACGTGACGTTTGCCTCACGTATATATACGAGTATAATGTGGAGACGCGTCGTAAAAGTTAAGAAAGATAAAATATTTAAGAAATAAAGTATAAAAATTATTGGGGATTATTAAAGTAATTTCTTTTTCTAAACGATATTATATGTAGCGAAGAAATCGTTTTGCAGACCGAGTTTTACCCTCGCGTCGCGGGATAGTATTGACAATCCTGCTTAAAATGCTAATGACTTATTGTTAGATCCCGTTCTGGAAAATGCCGGCTCGACACACAGACACAGAGGCAAGTCGCGCATTTGCGAGGTCATTACTTTTGCATGAACAATTCTATATCTGTCGCATGTGTTACTCCAAGACATTAATACATATTTCATTGGACGCGACGTACGTGCGGTGCAGAGATTTCTCTGGCGCCGGTGCCGGTGAAACAATAGGGCAGTCTCTCTCTCTCTCTCTCTCTCTCTCTCTCTCTCTCTCTCTCTCTCTCTCTCTTTCTCTCTCCATCACCGTTCTATTTACAGCCAATTACATCCACCAGATTCCCAACACGAGACGACGACCGGCGTCGGTTTTACGCTCGACAGTTTGCTACGAGGATGCGCCTGGTCACGTTGCACACGATTGCACGCGCTATATGCGCCACGGGAGAGCGCCTCATCAAAGTTGCATGAGGGTTCTTTTTTGATCGATACCAACGTACTCGCGTCCAGCAACCCTTCCGCAAAGGGACGCCTCCGCACTCTTTGTCGTACGGAATGGATGCGGAAAAATAATAAATTAATAATCGACATTGTGTTTAATCTAGATTTATTTCTGATAAATTAAGATATTATTTTAATAAGTAAATCAATATATATATATATATATATATATATATACAAAACAAAGAATATCAGTTAAATTTTAGATCGGGATTTTATGTCTATAATTATTATTTAAAAATGTCAATCATTATGTCGTTTATTTATTTTAATATGTATCTATAAAACAAAGAATATCGATGAAATTTTCGATCAGAATTTTATGTCTAATTATTACAAGTATTAAATCATGTCAATCACTATGTCGTTTATTTATTCTATTGCACATTGCTACTTAAAAGTTGTTATCTAATATCCCGAATTAAATCAATGAATTCTTGGGTGATTCATGGTTCAATCCGGGCACGTATTATAAAACTGTCCGGAATGGCTTCCGATCGGAATTTCTTCAGTTTTTCTTAGAAAACACAACAGAAATCTAGGGAATAATTGAACAATTTCGATCGGAATCCATTCCGAATAGTTTCCGTAATACGTGCCCAGAAGATTTTCCCGACGATTCGTGGAGGATGTTTCTGGAAAAATTTCTCGGCAGAGTTGAGAATTGAGAAATATTAGAGGAGGATAGCGTTGATGAAAGAGTACGAGTTCTAAAATGTAAAATATTATACACGAGGCGTACGACATTTCCATCCGGCCTTTATCGCGCCCGTGGTAAAATTTCCGCTCATTATCACACCCGCGAGATTTCACCGGTTAACTTTTATCGCGCTCGGGAGATTTGTCGGCCGGTTCGCTTCGCGAAGGATTATTACTCTGGCGAATAATTGGCCGGCAGCAATCACACGCAAATTTTGCGAGCACGTCCATCCATCTTGATTCGCTCACGTCTCACTCTTTCTTTCTCTCTCTTTCTCTCTTATCTATTTCTACCTCTATCTATCTCCCTTTCTCGCGTCTCTCGTGGATTTTCATTCTCTATTACACCTGACCATTCTTGTTGATAAGCCGTGGTGTTATCAGCCACGAGACGGTGTTCGGTGGTCAATACCTTGGGACGGAGTTTACCACCGAACGCTACAGCTCCTTTCAAAAATTCACCGCCAATGAACGTCGATAGAATTATCAATGCTGTGTCGAGCAGATTTAAAAAGGGATTTTAAGAAGAATAAAAACAAAGAATTATTGCTTTGAGACTCGATACGGTTCAAGAAACCTTTCAAGCCTACCTTTAAGGTAATAATAATTTAGAAATTGAATAACGTTAATTAATATGTTCGTTTTTAATCATTTAATTAATATATTGGCTACATACTGCATACTCTTCGAAATTCGGAACTGCTCTTGCAATAACTTTAGTATAAATTCAACATATATTCTACGTTTAATTAAAAATTTATCCCGATATCAATTATAGATATATAAAATAAAACAGATTAGAAAGATTAGAAATTAATTTCAATCATTTCTAATCGGCATATCAGGATTGATATCTACAGTTACAACATTCCCGGACGATATACAGCATGAAAGAAGCGCGCGAGAAGTTGCACGACGAATGTGGGAATCCTTCCCCGCATATTTTCCGTCGATTACAATCTTGCCTCTAATTTACCATTAAGCTTCATAAATCCAGGATCCCGCTAACACACACTATTCCCACGGAATTCCCGCGCGCTGCCAGATATAATACATCGCGCTCCCGTTAAATCCCGACGCGTTAAATGGTCGCTCACACTCACCGCAATCCCGGACGCGACGGTTCTCCGGCTTCTCCGCGTGCGTAAAACCGCGGAGACCGCGCCGGATATCCGCGCGAATCGTCGCGCGACAATCTATTTTCGTTGAGCGACGTACAATCTCGGGGGCGACGCCAACCGGCGGCGGGCCTCCTTCGCGAGCCGGAGTAAACACGCACGTGGTTAGATTTATCGCGTCAACGTGCGGGACGATAATTCACGTCGACAGGCGAATTAAGGACGCGCGGGTGCACCGTCGCGGATCCTCACTCTCGGCGACCGGCGTGTCTCGCAAAACGCCGCGCGCGGTTCGCAAAATTCGCGAACGGGTTTCGCACGCGGAGCGGCGTCGCACACGCACACGCCCGGCTGGTAGACGCTCCGCGTGTGATCGATAGAACCGCCGCCGTCGTCGTCGTCGTCGTCCCTGCCGCCGCCTCTGCCGCCGGCGACTCCCCGCCGCGATCACGAAGCACCCACCGCGCGTCACGCACTCGGCGCGGATGCGGAAGCGTATACGTGCAGGAGCGCGCGCGTTTAATCGAGGTGATCCGCTTCCTCAACGCGAAAACACGAGGAAACGCGAGAACGTAGCTCCGAGGCGCGTCATCGTCGTCGCGGACGGATGGACGGGCGTACGGAAGCCCGCGGTTCCGCCAGGTTCCGCCGCCGGTGCGTCGCGATGCGGCGGCGCCATAACGCGGCGTCGCCGCAGGAACGAGTTGGCTCCCTCGGGCCCGTACTCCCGATGAAGGTTGATGGGGGGATGCTTTTCAGAAAATAAATTGTCCCGTCGAACAAACGCGAGAGCTTACAGCTTACTCTCGGTTCGACGGCTAACGTTGAACCAAGCGACGTCCAGCTGCATTTTAATTCTCAATGGGAGGCGCCCAAAATCGCGATGAAGCCGGAAATAAAGTTTATTCAATCATACACACGTCGACAGCATTACGTCGAGTACCATAATTAATCGCGTGACAGCGCAAAGCCATTACGTTTTCCACCACGTCGAGTCCTTCGACTCCAAAGTTCGATAATTCTCCCATGATTTTCAAGTTTAATCTAGCGGACTCCGAAGAAGCGAACTCGAGGCGCGGGCTGTCCTCGGAGAGCGGGGGGTGAGATCAAGTTACCATACGTTCTAGCTACGTTCCTGATCGGCGACGGAGGTGAGGAACTCAGGAGGGTCGCCAATAGCGTACGAGCCGAGTCGACCTGGTGGGGACGGGCGCACGTGACTCGCGGCGTGTCGCGCTCTGTCAAAGTCGGGCGATATCACGCGTCCGCACGAGTTAAGAATCTCCCGCTCCGACCTGCTCTTTCGAAACGCGCGAGAAAAAGCGGCCGATAATTAATTCATTCGGGAAAAAACACTTATGACTTTCGCACGTTTCTGCGAAACGTGCCGCTGCGTGTCCCCCCGACGTACGAGCAGACGGATTGTCTCCGTGTACCTTTCTCGGATTACTATGCAAGAGAAAGACTTTCGTGCGATACAAAACGATTTGACTTGGGTACTTGTATGAGTAATAAACGGTGAATAAGGGGGAATAAGGTTCCGCGTGGCGCATAAACTTCGTGTCACGAAATTAAATGTACAACAATAAGATTCTTGAAATTTTGCAAAGAAGATCGAGAAATGTATTTAAAACAGTTTTTACACGGAGAGAATTTTTTTTTTAATTTACCCTGCAAATCATGTTAATTATGGGACAATATAGTATTTAGGCAAATTTTACTGTGCACTACAATAAGATTTCGCAGTAAAATTTATTGTAGTGCACAGTAAAATTTACCTAAATACTATATTGTCTCACAATTAACATGATTTTCAGGGTAAATTTTAAAAGAAAATTCTCTCCGTGTATAAAGAGATCTAATCAGATCTGATATGTTTTTTACATTTTCGAGAAACAGCATTTGTATATATCCTAGAATTTTATAGATTAAGACGTCTAAATTTCAAAAATTAGTGATAATTACATCTATAATAATTGAGGCTGAAATAATCGTCAGGGGTAAAAAACTAAAACTTAAATTTACGAGAGTAATTCACCGTTGTTAAGTAATTAAGCACATTAAGGAGCACACACAGTTCATCGGACGCAAAGATCCGAACGTATTTGCATAAAGCGCAGATCAAGCGGCTGACGTCACCGAATATATAAGGCGTTTACTTTGCAGGTAGTCACAAAGGGAACGCAAAACGTGACGGCGTTAACGCGACAGAAGATATTTCAACGAGACGACGTTACTCGATTACACGCTCCATCAGACGGGAAATTGATTTATCGTCATCGTCAAACGACTGTAATTCGCACGCGGGGGAGAGAACAAAAAAAATTCGCCGGGAGCGCACTTTGGGGCCTAATTAATTACTCGCGGTTTAATTATCGTCGCTCGGAGAGAACGCGAGAAGCGCGCTGAGAACGTAATTATTCCGAAGAAAACAGGAGAATGGCGGAATATCGATGGATCATTAACGAGTGGAGCGTCGTCGTTCTCTCGATTAATTGCGGTGATACGCGCGAATAAAAGAACCAATGGGTCCCATTGTTTGTAGATCAATAGTAAACGCGCGTGTCCACGTCCCCGTACAAATCCCGCAAATAAATCCGCGTTCCATTGTGCACCGGTCGCTGCAGCTTAATCGAGAAATGAAAGGCGGGGAAAAGTGGAGAAAAAAATAACAAGAGTCGATGAAGACATCGACGAGCAAATCAAGGGGAATTAATCGTTGTTTAAAAGCGAGGGCGATGCCAATTTTTACGCGCGTATATTCCCTCTTTCTCTTTCCTCTCCGCTCGATTAATTATTCGAATGCCGCCGACGAGATCGATTGACTCGGGTATTTTTCTCGGAGCGCGCATCTCGATTTACGTTATCGGAACGACCGGGTTCCCGCGGAATACACGCCCCCGATTCTTTTCGACGACGGCGGCGTTTTCGCGTCGTTCGAGGAATCCCCGAGCAATAATACACGGGTGGGAAGATCGATACGCGTCGCGCGCGATTTGAGGGACAGAATTACGAAGGACCCGGAGTCCGCGGCGCGTCCCGGTATACGTCAAAGTACCTCCTCCACACATCCGTCGCCAAACTCGTCGACGTCTCCACTCGATGTCACACACGGTGCACGCGGACAGAGATGAAGCGGTGGCGGGTCGTCAGCCGGCGCGGCGGTGGCGGCGGCGGCGGCGGCGCGGCCGCGGCTACAACGCCGGGACTTAAATCGGGGATTTAATCGGCGAGCCCACTTCAACCACTTCTCCCCCGTGGGTAAACAAGAGGAGAGTCATCCGACCGCACACGCTCGGACTGTAATTAAATTTCTGCGAACCACCGACGAGAGAAAGAGAATGGGCGCTGCGAGAGAGAATTGGAGAACGCCCCGAGGGGACGACTCCTGGTTAGATTCTCTCTCGTTCGTCGCAATTCGCGTTTTGCGCTTTTTGCGCGTAAATTGATTGAAACCGCCGAGGAACGGCGGGGTCAAATTGTTGAAGGAGAGAAATGCGGGGGGAGGAAGAGGGGGAGAGAAGGTGGAACGCGCGGTGTAGAAAAGTCGGGCAAATAATCGAAATGAGAGCACAAGCTCGATATAACTTCGCACTTCGCGTGTGTGACGTCAAACTCAAGCATCAAGGGCTGCGAAGTCCCTCGCGTTGGTCCACATATACCACCTACATACGTTTCGCGCACACCTTTGTGTGGCACGTACACGTGCGACGAAGTAACGATTTGTCATGTTACGCGAAATTAGGCAGACGAGAGAGAGAGAATTTCGTGGAAATCGCGAGAGATCCTCTCTTCTCCGGAGCTTCGATCCATGCGGCATGTATAATATACATACATCTCAACGCGACGTGATATATATCGCGTAAACCGCGCGTAACTTACACCCCGCGCAGAATTAACCGCAGGAAGTGACGTAAATCCGAGGTACGCGTTCGGGCGTGCGGAAACTTCTCGAGGGAAACTTCTCGGCGGGTGTCTCACGGAGCGCGGAGAGCCCCGACAATGCGCTTCCGCGCCTCGAGACGCGATCCCAGTCGCAATGTTACGACGGATCTCTCGTTCGCAGCGGCAAATTTTGCTTAAGAGAGCACAGGACATATTTCCCAATTTTTGTTTACATTATACATTATTATCTCTCATCCGCAAACTATTGAAGGAGAGAGAATGGCAAGTCTCTCTCTCTCTCTCTCTCTCTCTCTCTCGCTCGGGCGCGAGAAAATTGAAAGGCCCGCGTGGCGCGTTTCCCTTCCTTCCTCGGCTCTTCCCAATCGCGTTGTCCCCGTTCCCGGGGACGATCGAATCGAAGCGAAGACTTACCCGCCTCGAGCAGCTCCAAGTCCAGGTTACCGCTGCGGCTGCGGCTGATGCTGCTGCTGCAGGCGTTGTAGCTGCCGGAGCGGTGGTGAGCGGAGGACTCCTCCATCGCCCGGGAGGCGCTACGCTTGAACTGCTCCAGGAAGCTGTCGATCTGATTCTCGATGCTGGTGGGCGAGCTCGCCATCCTGCCTCCCGTCGACGATCCGTTTCCCGTGACTGACACCGCGATCTCTCGCGCCGGTCCTTCGTCCGCGACACCGGCCCCGATCAACAACGATGGTGAAGAGATAGAGAGAAAAAGAAAGAGAAAAAGAGAGAGAGAGAGAGAGAGAGAGAGAGAGAGAGAGAGAGAGAGAGACAGGAAGAGACAGGTGGATAGACGGACAGTAGAGAGACGGATAGAATCGGACAGAATCACGCGACACCGGGGCTACATCGTATATTAGAATCGCCGCGAGCGCGCCGCCTCCACGCACTTGCCCGACGTACCCGTGCCCGCTGCCGTCGTCGTCGTCGCCGCCACTGCCGCCGTCGCCCTCGCCGTCGATGTTTTTCTCCCTCCCTCCCCTTCCTCGCGGGCGGGTTAACGGCGCGAACGCTGCCCGGCCCCTGGCGCACCTAGTCCCGCTGTACGCCGCATGTCTGCTCCCGCTGCCGCCCCGATCCCCCGTCCACGAGCGTTCCGCGCTGGTGCGGTGCGATGCGGCGGTGTGCGCGGCGTGTGCGCTGCGCGCACTCGCACACGGATACGTGTGTACGGCTTCGGAAAACACCGGAACTGAGACGACGCAATCGCGCTCTGCCGCGTCGTTCTCGCGACAGGTGTCGCGACGTGGCCTCGAGTTACCAAACGACGTATGTACGACGGTCGGGGGAGGGCTCGGAGGAGAGCCGAGGAGCTGCGCGACCCGACCGGCGCGAACTCACCTGACCCCCCGCGACCGCGAAAACCTGGACCCTCGACGCGGGATAGGCCGAAGGGGGAAGGCGGGGGGGGGGG